TATTCAAGAGAGTGGCGACGCGGAGGGTGTTCGGAAGAGGGCGGCCGCCGCCCGAAGGGTAGACGCCACCGTCGCTGAAGCCGACGACGCCGCCGACAGTCTGTGCAAAAGGGGCGCCCGCATTTCAACGCGCGCTTAACGTTCTAATGAAATGATCATCGCCCCGCTGCAAAAACCACCTCTACATTCATTCCCTCACCCTTCATAACTCGCCAAAAAGGGGGCTGAAAGTCCCTACGCCCGTAATAAAATTATTTGACATTTCGCATAAATGACAAAGCGTTTTTGACATTTGCGCAGCGGAAAAGGTCAATTGATTATTATTGCTGCCATCATAATAATAATCACGTTTATTATTATCACGCCGCTAGGGGGATGAATAAATGGTATTTATATTGACATCTGATATAAACCCTCATCCCCCTTCTCAACCAACCCAACTCCTTCGACGGCCCTGCATTTCATCATCGCCAGCTCGCAATAAACGAAGGAGACCGACTGTCCATGTGTGCGCGATAAAATCGCTTGTTGCAGAACGCAAATGCAAAACACTTAAAGAAAATGCGAAGGGGTGGCGAAGGGGACACACACAACAACAACAAAAAAAAAAGAAATATAAGAATATAAAAATATAAAATAAAACAAGGAAACATAGAATAAGAACGTTGGTTGAAAAGAGAAAGAAATAAATGAAGAAGGAGAGAGAGAGTGAGAGAGGATAAAAATCTTTAGACGTTGGTTTCGCGGGGGGTGCTTGTTTTAGTCTGCAATCGATAACAAAAGCTAAACTCCGATCCTGAACGTTTGACCTTTTACCCCTTTTGTTTTACGACGAAAAAGAAAAAAAGAAATATGAACAGAAACCAAAAATGAAACCGACGACGCGAACGCTTTTGCCTCTCCGCTGTGCAATTTCGGAAAATTCCCAGGATCTCTTTTCCCCCTTTTCCCTTCCAATTGATTTGCGTCTCCGGCTTGGTTTGCATTCCACCGGTCGGCTTTAAATAGCGCCTATCGATTTAACAACGAAGCGAAAAGATTTTTTTTTTGCTGTATGCAACAAAACAACAATAAAAAATGCAGCAAAAATCCTTGATGTTCTGCGTTATTATCCGTAGAATAACCATTTTCCTAAAATATGAAATTATTGTTGATAATTAGAAAAAAAACTGTCTAAAATAAATCTAATTAACTATATCGATGAAGGTGTCCCAGAATGGACCACTTGCTTTAAAATATCTGTATATCATTGTTTTACGAAATATAGGCGCAATACAAAAGTGATCTACATAAGTGAATTTGTTTTCAAATAGTGACACTCATGGCCAACATAAAATAAGTGAAAAATATATTAGGACGGAACAAAACGAAACTAATTTTGATTACAACATTATAGATTACAACAAAATTTCAGAGGTTATTATAAAATCCAAAAGAAAACTACTGGAACACTACAAATTACGAAATAATACTTCATAAAGCAACAATAACATAACAATCACAAGTAATTAACAACTAGTTACTTGTTCCTATGCAACTTGAATTAATGAATTAAAATAATCTAGAAATGGTTGTACATTGTACTGTTCAATCTGCATGCAACATACTTTTTCTGTTTTGTTTTTTCATATAAAAACAATCGACTGAAAAACTTGACCAAGCAGCAACTGATGGTTTTTGTTAACTTAATCGTTTTATTCATTAATTTCTAATGTCATTTCCAGCGTGACATACGAATACAAAAGTTAAAAATGTAAAATATTATAAAAAAGTTAATATTAGTTTCCAATCTACATAATAATTATTTTGCATGAAACTTACAGACTTTGGGTGGGTAGATCTAATGGTATTTTGACTCAAAATCATTGACAAGGTCCACTTTATAAAAAGTATACAAAACACTCCAGAAATAATCTCATTTAGAAGTCTTTTGGTACATCGTTTAAAGCTTGTGTAGGGAAAATTCTTCACTTGAAATTTACCCTGTACGCTTTCCTTGATACGGAATTATTAATACCTAGTCGATGTTTCAAAACTGATAAAAGTGATTTTTAAACCACAATTTTTATATTCATATGTTATTTTTTCATATTACGGTCTTTAAACTGATTTTTAGTAGACAAAAATGCGTATTTAATTTTGTATGACAGCTATCATTATAATATATTAATCATTTTGACAGTTTCTTTGCGGACTTCAGCAAGTTATATCATTCGTTATAAATCAGTTAAGTTAATTAAACTTGTTACTAAACCAGCGTTTCTTAACCTTTTTACCACTCAACCCCCACATATTTGTTTGTAATTGTACGCGACCCAATTGTTAACCTATAATTTGTGACGTTTTGACTGAGGATGACAGCTGTCATTTCGCTGTCCATTAAAAATTTAACGCAATCCGTAGGTTGAGAAACGCTGTTCTCAACTTTGGAATTTATCATAAAAGTATTCACTGCTGATAATTATTTAGAAAGCTCATGATGTGGCTTTCTTTGCGAACTTCTATTAGTTATCGCAATGTATATTACACATTGCACACCAAGATAAAGCAATCCGGTTGATCACCACTACCTGAACAACATGATCTATTCATGCTTGTATGTTCCACACTGATTACAGACCATCAATACAACTTTATACATCTATAAACAATACAAACCTACTAATAAATGAACAATTACATCTACATGATAAAATTATTGTATTTACTAAAAGTTCACGTTAAACGTTGAATTAATAAACAATGATTACAAAAAAAAATAACAGTGTAACAATGAAAACAAACAAGCGCTATAAATTACGTACGAATTTATAAAATATTTAATTTACATGTAGCGCGTACTTCAATTAAGCAGGTGCTTTTATCGCGTATTATGTAGTTTTGTTGCTTTTTTGTTTTGTTTCGTATCTTCCTTTGTTTTTTTTGCTGTGCGTTTGTTTCAAATATTCATGCCGGTATAAATGTATTAATCGAAACACGAAATCGTAATATGTTCATGAAAACGGAAACGTCTGTTTTGTATTCAAATATGTACAGTTAATTAACGGTGAGTCACGATTGCAATGAAAAAATATAATTTACGGTATTTTTAAATTACACTAAACATGAAAATGAGACGATACACAAAAATTGAACACTTACCTATCATTTTTTTATATTATTAGAGAAAGTGTGCTAGATTTCAATTGAAGCATTTTCTCAATTGAATTCAAGTGATCTTTACTATTTGGAGAAATATGAAACTTATGTTTACTTGGTTTTACATGTATTTGCATTACATAATGTAATGTAATGTTCATAATACTTGTAGTATTCTTTAATGACATTTAATATGTTTTAATATTAAGTATACTATTTATTAACCTCTGAGAACGAAGTTTCGCAGTTTCCAAGAAAATTACGTTAATTATAGTTAATCGAGGTTTTAATGTATTTTACTATACAAAATTTAAGTAGAAACAATTTCATGGAAATCTATATTTCAATGACAATAAATATGACATATTTGACATTGAAAGTGACATGAAAAATGTAACCATTTTGGACAACTTATAACATTTCCATTGCAATAATCCAAATTACGTTTGGATACGATTATACAAGTTTATCAGCTATGATTAGAATCGATTCAGTTAACTTTCAGTTTACCATCATGATAATCCGTTCAATAGGTTTCTTCCTGTTATATCCGAGTAATTATTACCTGATATTAAGAGTAATAGTTATGGGAATTTAATATCTCCTAGGCAACTTCTTGTAATGTAAGTTTAGAAATTTCTATATAGTAATAAAAATAAACATAAAATTTATAATTGTCCATCATAACTTACTCATGAGCAACAACCGTAAATAACAGTAGATTACGTAATTACATTATTTTAATCTTGAATAAATCAATTATTTATATGTTTTCCAGATTCTCATATACTTTTAAAAGTCAGGATTCGTTATAAAATTAGAGCAAATAATCAAATTTTAAACTAGGTTACATTTTGTTTATTTCACATAAACATGAAGGAATTAATATAATTAATTATTATTTTTAATCAATAGATCAATATTTTCCTAATGAACTGAACTGTCCAACTTTTATTTAATATTAATTAATAATATTGGTATGTTTATGTCACATTTATGTAATTTCTTATTTTGTTTCTATAGTTACAATGTAAATGTCATTTAGACGGTTACCGAATTGTTTCGTGAACGAAAAGTTAAAGAAATTCACGTGTATTGAATATAATCTGCATTATTCTCATCCAGACTAACGTAAGTCAACATTGCATAATAATTAATACTTGAATCAATCAATCGCATTCGAACTGCCGCGTTTCTCCCCCAAGATGCATAAATATTCAAATATTTCTCTGGAAACGATCAATTTAGTCGTGAAGCAAGAAACTAAGAAGGCAAAAAAAATAAGAACCAATATTTACTGAATTGATTTTCACTTATGTTTAATAAATTTAATTGTTTACTAGAATTTTCAAGGATAATTGCGTTATTGGAAAAATTATATCTTTTACATGTATTAACAATAAATTATTTTCGATCATGACACCTTCATGTATGACATTTCCAATTATATTAATTGGCTTTTCCGTGCAACATCACATATGCATTAATAAAAAGCTAATAGACTAAAATCCACTTAACTACTAAACCACTGTATACTAAATGCATTAATTTATATTTCAGATACAATAATTTGTGTACATATATTAATTAGATTGAAATGCATCATGTCTTTTTTTTATATAATTAGTACTAATTATAATTAACAATTAATTATTTCATGGCCATTGTATGCAATCCAATTGGTTTGTCCATAATTAAAAACTGCATGTTTCTCTATCGAATTTTTAGTGAGTAAGAGAGTTACAAAATGTGCTAGTAATCGTAATTTGCACTTCACATAATTCTATGTTAGTATGGCCATCTACAGTGAGATTGATGAGGTTGAAGAATACAGGTTCTGATGGTAGAGGTCTCACTGCCGCCCACGTATTGGATTTTGAAAAAGAAAATAGCATTCATCTGACGTTTAAAAATTTTCTTAACCTACAAACACAATAACCTCGAAAGTAGTTTTCCTAAATTTGTTGTATTCCTTTTGCACATTTACTTTTGCAGCGATGTCTCCCCACTGATCTCGCATTTCCGGTTTAACACTCCTAACGTGTTTACTTAAGAAACTCCGCTCTGCCAGCATGTCACATATCAGCTATGAATAATTCATAATTAACTGCTAAACACCAAAATCAAATTAAAAATGCGCGTATCGTATACGAAATCGATATAAGTGTGTGCGTCTAAATCAACTGGTCTCACATTCCCGCAAAACACATCATCATCAAATGATGCATTTCAAATGTCGCCTGAGAAGAATCAACTTTAAATCCATAATAATTGTGATAGTGTTCATAATAGCTATACTTTATTTGAAGGAATGGAGCAGTGCTGTTGAGGATGTGGTCAAAAGTGAGGCATTCGTGTTTGATACACCAGAGGCAATTGGTTTGGAGGAAAAGGTTAAGCAGTATGAAGCTGGAATTGTAGAGAATTTGGGTAACAATGGTGATGCTGCTTATTTGGAGGGTCCAGATAGGGTTAAAGGGGAAGAGGCCCTGAAGAAGGTGGCATTGAACACTGTGCTCAGTGATAGGATGCCACTGAATAGAACACTCAGGGATCCCAGGAACAAGAAGTAAACTAATCTAAAATTATTAGTGTTTTTTCAATTAATATAATTTGAATTTTTGCAGGTGCAAAAATTTTACTTACAGACCTAAATTGAAAGCCAGTGTTGTGATTATCTTTTACAATGAGATTTACAGTGTGATATTGAGGACAGTGTGGAGTGTTATATTGAGGACTCCTCCACATCTGCTACAAGAAATTATTTTAGTTGATGATGCCAGCACAGAAGGTATAATAGTTGTTTGTATTTAGATTTCGAATTGGATTTTGATTTTTTTTTCAGAGGGTTTAAAGGAGTTATTGGATCATTACATAAAGACAAGACTGAAGAATTATGATATAAAATTGCTAACATTAAAACATAGGATGGGTTTGATTAGGGCGAGACTGCATGGGGCTAGGGTGGCCAGTGGAGATGTGCTCATATTTTTGGACGCTCACTGCGAGGCAACAGAACAATGGGCGGAGCCCCTTTTGGCTCGCATCGAGGAGGACAGGACTGCAGTTCTCGTGCCAATAATAGATGTTATCGAAGCCCATAATATGGCTTACGCAACAAATGGTAATGTGTTGATGTTTGCATTGAAATTAAGTGATTAATTTTTGTTTGCGTGTAGGTGAAACATATCAGGTTGGCGGTTTCACCTGGGCCGGCCACTTCACGTGGATCGACATACAGGACGAAGAGGACAAACACACTTTGGGTCCGGTGAAATCTCCGACGATGGCCGGTGGATTGTTCGCCATCGATAGAAAGTACTTCTGGGAGGTCGGATCTTACGATGAGCAGATGGACGGCTGGGGCGGTGAAAACTTGGAAATGTCTTTCAGGATATGGCAGTGCGGCGGCCGTTTGGAAACGGTGCCGTGCTCTCGCGTCGGGCACATCTTCCGCGACTTTCACCCGTACTCTTTCCCGGACAACAAGGACACGCACGGCATAAACACGGCTCGCCTGGCCCATGTTTGGATGGACGAGTACAAGCGGTTGTTCTTCATGCATCAGCCTTCTTTGGAGAACAATCCGATCATCGGCGATCTCACCCACAGGAAGCAACTGCGACAGAAGCTCAGATGCAAGAGCTTCAGGTGGTACTTGGAGAATATTTATCCGGAGAAGTTCATTCCGGACGAGAACGTTATTGCGTACGGGCAGGTGAAGAACAAATACGATATGTGTTTGGATGATCTTCAACTTGCCGACGATAAGGTGGGTCCTTTGGGGATCTACCAGTGCCATCCTTATGTAGCCATGTCTCAATACTTCTCTATAAGTTCCAAAGGGGAGCTGAGGAAAGAAGCGTTCTGTGCGGAGGCTTTTTCTACGAACGTTGTCCAACTCACGGAGTGTCACAGCCACAGTCGCGAGCAGTTCTGGGTTTACTTCCCTAAGGAAGGTCGCATTTACAGTCCGTCCTTCAAGAAGTGTCTCAGTTCGGAAGGAGTGCGAGAGTCCAGCGGGCTGGTCGTGGATTCCTGTAAGAATTCGCCGCATCAGAAGTGGACGTTTACCAATTTCAACAACACAGGGATTGTTTGATTTTACACATGTTATAATATTTATATTGCTATTTTTTCTATTTTATTATTGTGTTTCAAATATACAAATATATTTTTCTCCAGTGTCTTAAATATTTCATTACCTTTCATACCTTAGCACATAATACATTCAGTTTTGTTTCATATAGAAATTTTAATATTGCGAAGTAAAGATAGAAAGGCGACCTTTTACTTTAGAGTGGAACGTAGAAAGGTACTCTTCGTTTTTTAAATGCTTCTAATGTTCATCCATTCCTAATTCTATAGTTCATTTCAAATATGAATATAATAATACAAATATGTATGTATAAAGCCAACAACCAATTCCAAATTAATTTCCTATTAAAATAGATATTATTCAATTAATTTCGATTAAGTTTTAAATATTTTATACGATCATTTTAATTCTAGTTATTGTATTGCAATAGAATTTTGTGTAACAGCTAAGGAATAAAATATTTGAATTAGAAGGAAAAGAGTTCTCGCTTTGTGAAAGTTTTAAATAAGAGAGTTGGATGACGGTCGAATCGAATAATTACAGACAGCTAAGTATAGAACATATCCAGAATAATGCATTTGGTAAATAAGAAACAGTAATTCATTTCTTACCTTGAAAATGTATACTTAACTTTAAGTTTTTAATTTTATTTACTTACCTTCTTTATTTTCCTTATAATGCTGATAATTATGTATTTAATCATATGGAGTAGCTTTCAAGCAAAAAGCAGAAACAAATTTTGTATACAAAACCGTCAAATTTAATAGATTTAACTTTTCGTTTTAATATAAAAGTAAAATTTCCGGATTTTTACTCGTATAGTGAATCACGTTTCCTTGCCGAAAAAAAAAGTATAATTTGGTCTCGATTTTTAATGATTTTGCTTTACATATCTATGGTTCTTTTTATTCTTTGGCTTTTTATTCGGAGATATGCAAGTGTTATAAAACTTTGCACAAAAAAATCACAAATAACATCTCTGAATACAAGTTTAGAAATTTTGTGATCACAAACAACACTAAGATCCAACTAGAATGACCATTAACACTAAGAACTGTTTTCCAATTCACTCGGTGAAGTGAGTTTATAATTGTTTATATTACTTGTATCAATTCGGTAACTTGGTGGAAGTCTCTTTATACTTTTAATATTTGTTTATTTAAAAAAGCGTACATAGTGTGTTTATATATTATAAAAATGGTTGGACACAATACATTTGTGTTTTGCATTTACAGCAAACACAAATTATATTTGCAAAGTATAGTCCGCTTTAAATGAAGATGACAAAGAAAATCGAAGATGGTTAATAAATTCAAAAATACACATAATATTTGTACACAAGTTTTAAAAATGATGTAGAATTCATTTTGCTCGTTAAGCGAAATGCTCGTTATGCGAGGTTCCACTGTATTAAATAATCTAAACGTTAGATCTATTAAATCTATTGTTATCGGATTATACACAATAATCATAAAGTCGGGACTTTTATCACAAGATCATAAAACTAACGTTTATTTTATGATCTTCTGGTCTTTTCATTATACGAAATGTAATTATTTAGATAATTTGAACGTTAAATAATAGCCGCTTATTAATTAACATAACAATAGTAATTTCTTGTAGATGTAGTGGTATATAAATGAAAACTATTTATCATATTGGTCGATTTTTTTTTAATTGTTTAATTAAATAATAACAAATTACGTATTAAACATAGTGTATGGTCGTACTTAATTTAAATAAACTAATATAGTAATAATAAATTGAGCAATTTATGAGGAAGGGAGCTCGAGAACTAGAATACAACAAAAGTAAACTAAACTTAAATTCATTCTATGGAGGAATAGGACACACACATATATAAATTTATATATACTTCATCCAAAAACCAAATAAAATCCAATTGGTTTCGGATGATTCTCACACTTTCATTTAGAATTACATTGATTTTTTTTTGTTTAAACACCGACAGGCCAACTCGCTTCGTACAAATCTATTAACATTTATATAAAAATATGATAATTACATCTGGTTATTTAAATATAATCGTACATATGTATACATATATTTTTATATATATTCTTAACAACAAATATTATTAAACTTTTAAATATTTTCTTCTTGCATCTCTAAATATTTGATTTGATAGTTATATTTCGCTGTCAGGTAATCTGAAATAGGTTTGCTGCGATTTCTTTGTTGTGCCGCAGAGGATGTATATGAGAATACAGAACGTGAGTAAAAGAGCTATGGACGTGCTGCCGATGACGATCATCTGCTTCATCATGGACATGGTGGCTGGGTCGATCCTATCCAGCTCGCAATCCTCCTCCCACTCGTCAGGTGTTATGGTCACATCGCGGAGAAGAGCGACGAAATTGTTGAGGGGACAATTCTCTTCGCATTCTGGTAACCGCATCTGCCTTGCCTCCGTCGAGTTCTTGTACAGAACGTTCACGTAGCGGAGGCCGTTTTCATTGTGCTTCAGCTCTAAGATGACGGTGCTGGCGTATGGCGGACAGTGATGTTCGAACAGTCGCAAGGCGCTCAACACGTTGGCGACGGTCGTGTCATGGGCGGAGTACATCCAAACTTTTTTTCTTTTCTTCTCATTATCTGCGTTTTCGGATATGGCCTCGTGCATGTGCTCGATGAACTCATTGATGAGAAGACCTGTCTTCAATCTAGTCAGTTCCCTCGTGTAACAGGGCACGGCGAAGCTCAGTTGTGCGAGTTCTTGCATGCCCGTCGGATACACCTTATTCGTCCATTCAGGTAGGGTGTAGTTGTACAGCTCTTCGATGAACAGAGTATTGAAAATGTACTCGGTCTGAGCTATATCGTTGACCGTCTTTCCCGTCATCTGCGTGAGGTACTCGTACAACTCTTTGTATTTGTTGGCGATGTTCTGGAATTCCTTGCTGAGAAACAGCTGGGACATAAGCTGGTTGTACCTGGGGCAGTGCTTCTTCATTGCAAGCACCGGGTCCTCCTTCTCGGGCTTCGTGTGGACGGGGATCGGCTGCCAATCGATATTAGCATTCCAAATCTGTCCTCCGCGCGGCTCATAGAGTCCGGCCAGATTAGAATACGCCGACATCAGAGTGCGGTCCACGTCTGTAGATCGCACGTAGATGTCTTCCTCGGAGTACTTGTCCGGCAAGAAGTCTCCGTATCGATTCCTCAGCCATTTGCCAAGTTCAAAGTGCTGCTGCTTCCCAATCTAAAACAAAACAACAATTAATACTTGTTATACAACGGGTGATGATTAATTAATTATTTAGAGAAAGAACACCCTCCACTTCTCATTCAGTTATCTAAATTACACTTAATCTATATCTTTGAACGTGACTCAAAAGTTAAATTGAAACCTTCGCACTTAATATTTAGACAATACAATTTATCAATATTATCAAATGTTATAACTACTTGACTAACAGCACAAAGTGCAAATAATTCATTTTTAGGATGTCGTAATTCCTCGCTCCATGGTTCATGAATTACGGAAATTCCAATGACGAAAAGCACTAATAATAGCACAAACTGCAATATTAGCATCGAATGAAAATCAAACAATAACAAGTAAAAATAAAGCTAAATCATAAAACACAATTAACAAAATTAAATCAGATTTGCAGAAAATATACGAAATTGTAAAAAAAAAAATACATGAGTAAACCTGAATCAAATTAACGTAACTCTCACACTTTGATATTCTGTTATTCTCGTTTAAAGAGAAGCGTCACGCGCAACGAAGAAGTCCATGAATCGCTGAGATAAACGAAGCAGTTAACTATTATGTAATTATGTATTATGTAATCGTCAACAAATTTGCCGATAAAAAATCAATCATAACAAAAGCTTGTTTATCCACGAAGAATATTTATATATATATATTCCACTTGAATAAAGTGATAACATCATAGATTGCGTGCTATTTTTAGAGTTCGCGCAATGCACGAAACGTGAGCCGAGGTAATAAAAATACAGTTTTTGAAACGGACAAATCCGATAAAAATACACCTTCGTCGCGGGTTATCCTGAGAGAGAGAGATATTTTTAAATGATATGTACAGCAATACCTCGCATTGTTCTGGTAATAGGTTCTCCTAACATTTCAAACCAAAATAATCGAGAAACTAAATAATGTGGAACCTCGCTTAACGAATTATGCTCGTTCCAAAATTTCCAGATTTTTACTCATATAGTGAAACAATTTCCCCATATAAACTAATGTAATATGCGTTCCATTTTTCTTACAATTTATTTCGCTCGTTAAACGAGGTTTCACTGTACATCCATAAAAATAAACCACACAAAAAAATAAGACTGTACAGTACAGTGGATCTGGACTGATTGAACACACACTGTGCGAGCTATTATTCTACGTTGCATTCGATATTTTGCTTAAAAATCGATTGAAATATTGATTACACATTATAAATAATTAATTACGTTATTCTATGCCATTATTATTCAATGTCGATACGAAACTGGTAACAAATTTGGTTGTATGATTTATGTATATTTTAGGGAAGTTCAATGAATCATATCCTCGTCTAATTTCCAATGCATTTTACCGTTTGAAATACTACACTTTTCCAATTTTCATTGAAAAAGAAATATAAAACATTCATTTTTAACACCATTATGTTTTAATACATCCATTTCTTCTTCATCATCCATTATCCTTAAACTTCTACACTTAAATTAATAATGTTTGAAAACATTACATAATTAATCATTACTAAAGAAATGGTAATTTATTTAAGCAGTGAGCTTTCTCATGTTTAAATGTTAAAGGGGTCGCAAAATGACAGAAATGCTCATACAAGATGCAACAAACTTATTGTGAACTTCATTCAAGTCAAAAATTGATGTATTCATATAAACTACGAAAATATGATTGATAAGTCAAAAAACAAAAACCTTGAATTTTCTTTGTTATAAAGCAGACGACATTGCTTAACTTGCATAGGAAATGTGATTAAGACACAAAAGTTAATAAACTTTTTTTTTTGATTTACATAACTTTGCAACATAAAAGTTTAATAAGAAATATTTGAAACATGAATTGTATAGCATTAAGATATAAAAACAAAATATTTTATATTTTTTTCTTTCATTAATAATTCATAACTTGGTGAAAAATTTAAATAAATTAATTACATTGTAGAAGAAATAGAAATGATCGTTCTTGCTTTAAAAATACAGGTTGACACTGAAAATGTCGTGAATAGTATTGAAACGGTTGAACCGAAATGTTTCATCACAACCACAGTCGGTAAGTTAACTGGAAACCTTGAACTGATTAAAGTCGATCTGAAGGTTCTACAAGAGATCGATTGGAGTGGAAACCACCGAGCAGCAGCTGCTAGATATCGATAAGAGAAGCAATCGCTTGTTACTAAATTGAGTTACGGGGTAAAATAATCTGTATTCCGTCAGACTTCATTTTACGACTATAAAAAAAATAAATATTTTACAACCCAAAAAGTCATTTTTCAAGAACTACACATTTGATTTAATTCAAAAGAACTAATAAATAGGAATAGCACGTATATATCTATCGCTTTAGCAAAAAGGAAAACCACTAACGACGCAATTCAAATTTCCAGTAGTTTTATCGTTTATTTGCTTACTTTTAATTATTTTCAAATAATATTCAATCGTCCATGCAGTTATTTCTCCGCTAAAAATAACAATAATTAAACGTACGAAGCCAACTACCAAGCAACAAACAAATTTCACAGAATCATCTACAAAAATTAATAAAAAAATCAAACTAATTTTGCCTATTTTATAAATCTTTTCGTTAATTTCAAGTTTTTTTTATATTAATTAAAGTATTATCAATAATAAAAATAAGAACATTTTGGAGAAACAAAAAACTTACGTTTGTCAATTGTCCAAACCCAACCGGCCAATACGATGTATTTCTGTATGGATCTGTGGGGTACGGATCCACTGGTGTTCGGTCTCCATGTCTGTACAGCTAAAAAAACGAGAGAAACAGTTAAATTTTTGTTATCAAATATTCAAAGTGGACAAAAAAAATATGATAAAAGATGATATCTACATCAGCGTTTCTCAATATGTCGGTGAAATTTAGTCACATTGTGCCAAACCGTGACCTGGTGACATACTCTTTAAGAATAGTACCTTTTAAGTTTACCAAATAAATGGCATCTGTCAGATTGAAAGTGTCAGTCAATTTTTATAACTTAATGATAGTTTTATCGGAGTATTACAAAGATCGGATACGAATACGAATCAAAAAAATCTATTGCACTAGGTGGCAGAAATATAGAGGCAATAATGATAACATTTACAAAGGGGTCAACGGTCGAAAAATAAAGTTTGGGAACCCCTTTTGCAGAGACCACTATTATAAATTTAAAAAATAACTAGAATCGAGGATGCGGGGCAGACAAGCGTGATAAATGAAAAGCGTTGAGACAAAAACCACGATTGCAATTTATGTCAAGCTGGCTGTCAGCTGCTGAAAGAAGGAAAGGGTTTTGGGATTTAGGATTTTGCGGAGTAGAACTCGTTCAGAGTTGAATGGTCCCCGGATGAAAAGCGTGTACAAATGAAAACTCTTTTGTTGCACGGTGAGCAGATGTGCTGCGGTTCCAAAAAAAATAAATAAATTGTACAAACTTTGAATGCAATTCCGTTAAAAACAAACTAAAAGTAATGGAAAAAACAATCAATACATTTTCGTAACTGGTATTGAATACAGTTCGCTTAAGATTATCTATGATTAAGAGTTGAATTCTTATACGAACAAACGTGTTTAAATTGAAACAAAATGAATTAAATTTTTATCAAATAAAACTATCAAACAACGATTAATTCCAAATTCAATATTTATTGGGACAAAAGCCCTTTGTATATCCAATTTTATGTACACAATAAATTTTTCTTCACTTACATTTCTATTGTATACATAAACAAAGAACATAGACACAAAAGTGATATTTCAAATAGAATTTCCGGTCTCGGCATTCAATCTTTTGTCACTAAAGCAGCGTTTCTCTACCTATGTTTAATGTGTCACCATGTATCAAAGTGAATAACTGTTAGTACTCACCCAATTGTTAGAACTATAACAAAAGAATTAAAAAGGTTGAGAAACGCAGATCTTTTAGTATCTAGTATATGTTCTAATAAATTACTCAATTTTTAGTAAATTCCGCAATTGTGTGCAAGCAATAAGTGATTATACGAGGCGGAACGTCATAAAATAAATGTAATTAAAAAAAGAGTTACATATCTAAACACATATTAACAAAGTTTGCATAAATATAAATTGAATTTATCAAAATATGATTGAAACAGTAGAGAATCGAAAATTATTTCATCATAGCAACCTGCTTTCAAGGTTGCATCGAACGGAAATCACAGTATCTGTGGAAAATGCACTTCGTATTGCATTTCAAACAAAATATTATTTTGCCAATTTCTATCTCGATTTCCGCCGTTAGACAATGCCGAAGCGGTATAAAAGACACATAGAATACGTGTATTAATATTATTATTATTTGAGATAAGATAAGATGATCTTATTTATACGCAATTATGTGGAACAAAAAGGATGAAAAGTCATCAACAACATATTAAATATATCGGAATAAATGAAATTTGCTTGTTTATTGATAAAGCGTAGAAAGGCAAATGTTGGCTATCAAACTCCAAGCAAACACGACCCGGCGGCAATCCTCAAATATTGAATTAAACTCGCTGCCAAAAATTTGATAAAAGCAGAAAATAAGCCATGTTATCATCGGTAGTTCCTTTCAAATTGAACTATTTACGTTACCAACGTACCAAATTGCTTTCCACAATGGAAATAGATAAGTAAATGCACAATTATGTCTTTGGGGAAAAACGTAAATATGATAAAAACCGACTTCAAGTAAACACTTTAACGATAAGCCCGAAATGGTTACTTCATTTGTCTATCAAATATAATATATACATTTTTAACTAATTGTCACTTTTATTAGCTTTTGTATATTAATCACCTAACACGTATTACTTCTTTTTTTTTCTACTAAATTTACTGAAACAATTAGAAATGACTTAAACGAATTTTTAAAAAATAGTTAGCATTTTAATATAGTATTAACACAATATAAAAGTTTATAACAGCTAAAATTAATTGTTAAATTTATTGTTTCTCCATTAGCATTATTTAACGAAATCCTCTAGTTTCATTCAATGTAGAATCAAAATCAACTTTCGGACATTATCAATAATGAAGTGGACCAATTTCAAAATAATATTTATCATTGTTGAACTAAATGTGAAAATGTATGTCTTCAAAGTGATCATATACTTAACAGCAAATTATTGTTTATGATAGCTAACATTAACTTATAAACTTGATACAACAGACAACAAGAAAACATTGGAAAATGGACTTAGGACTACAAAATAAACCGATTATAAAATGTCCAAATTATGAATACTTTATAGCGTACAGAAAACAAAGATTAAGCTATAACAAAGAATGAAAAGAATGAAGGAAGGTGAATCTCTGGTGGATATGATAATTCGATTTTATCTATAGAATTGGAAACAAAACAAAAACATATTTAGTTATGTCGAGCTAATTATGGTTGCATTCTTGCGTAGTCAGCATAGTGAACATTTTTTGTTGTTAATATGTGCATGTAATTTAACTTCGTAGTAAAGAAAAACATTTTGTTTTTATAGAAATCGAATATTGACTTGAACATTATAACAAACTACAAATTATTATTTCAATTCTTTATATAATGAATCTTTTACTCAATATTTAAACTAATATACAGTTAATCAATAATTAATGATATTATTAAGAATTCAATGTCAGTGTAGAAGTATTTAGACTTAACTATATTTTCATAACATTAATTCATCAGATATTTTAGCAAATTTAAGAAAACTAAATCTTTTAGGAATATATGATTATTTTAAGGGCTGTGACAACTTTAAACACTATCAGTAAACATATGTCTATAGATAACTTCTTCATTCATTCTTCTAACACAGTTCTGTAAAATGTTATTAATAATTAAAATCATTGCCTATCTTTACAATCAATTGAATCAATTAATTAGTTTTAAAAAGAATATTTAACAAATTCTTGTTTAGTAACGTATTTAAATGTTAATTCCAAATTACACACAATACTTTATATATTTGTGAAGGTCAACATTTAATTTACATTCTTTCATAAGAACGTTCATATATATCGCGTAAACCGCGAACAAAACAAAAACAGGTACAATGACTTCTATCTATTTGCAAATTTTAGTGGTCAGCGACGGATCCAAGATTGCAAAATTCAATCATGACAGGAAACTGCCTAATTGAACCTAAACTGTAACTCACCACTATAACAGCATCCAATTCATCGCTGGCTGCGAAGAGGGGCGCAAGCAGAAGAATCGCCAGATGGAGTGGATTCATTGTCGTTTCTTTCTATTTCACCAAGAAGTAGAGAATCTTCTTTTTGTTTACGTTTTTTTTCTCTCTTCCACCTTTGTTTTGGTCAGGAAGAAATCAAAGGTGAACGAAACTACTTGTTTGTACCTGAGTGATGATGGAAAGTGAGAGTGGTGTGCGCTAGGACAGCGGCGAGGGAACAGGAGAATAATACATCGCACATTCCAGACTCGGAATGGGTCGAAACAGAAATTTTAGTAAATCCGCCCCCTTGCGTTCGCACCGGTTCTCACGCCTTCAACCTGAACATATGTTTATGTTTACGTATCCTTGAACTATATCTACCGTCGCACTCACACACGCATACTGTATGCAGTTTATCACCAAACCATGGTTTTATGGTGCGAATCCAAGTCGGCCGAGCCGCTCGCCACTTGGTGGGAGAAAGCGGCGGCGAAATTTGTTACCCCCACGAAGGAAGTACACTCGTTACGCGCAGGATCACTCTCATCCAGTGTATCCAAAACGTGCGCATCTCACAACCAAAAATACTTGATCACTTTCAGTTTCAATTACTACTTTTTTTTATGTTTTCAAAGACATTGACATTACATAGCATACTCGAAAAAATAACTTACATAATTTACATCACAAATATATTTGTATCTAACAGCATCAAAGTTCATGTTGAAATAATGCGCTTCTTGTTTATCAGTAAAAACTTTCTTGAATTAATTATTTACTTTCTACAATTTCATTAAGTAATATAAGGATTTCCACCTTGAACTTAATTCATTGTGGCTATGGTCGCCTGTATCACGAAAATCTGATACGAAAGGTCGTTGGTTCAATTCCGAAAAATCAACAAAAAATTGTGGTGACTGTTAAACCCGAAAGGGGTAGAAATAGGGCCGGAGAGATTTATATCAATAAATAAAATCGATATAAATCTCTTTTTTATTAATAAAAAACTTAATCATTATGCAAAATATACCTAAATTTGTATCATGAATACAAACAAAACATGTATTTAATTCATATAAATTTATTAATTATAATTATTTAATAGTTACAATTAAATATCGTGAAGAAATTAGACAATTCTATAAATAAAATAAAGTTAATTTAGCTGAAGAATATATATGAACTAAGCATATTTATTTAAAATTTATTATCTAGTATACAGTTAAAAGTATGTATGAAGTTAATATTAAGAAAATAGTAAAATTAATTATAAAGCACATTGTTTATCTTTACGAATTTGTACATTCATAAAGAAATTCTTGGAAAGGAAATTACTATATTTGGATAAAGGTAGAAGTGAACAATGTAATTATAATAAAATATTTATTACACGATTTGAATAAGTAAATTAAGAATTTAAAAGTAAATTACATGGTGAGAATATTGATAGGATTGATTTGGAGAAGCAGTGTTATTGAATCTAATTCATGTTTAAGGTAGTATTAATTAATATTAATTGAGAAATTCTAATTGATTGTGTTCATAAATTAATTAATATTAAGAAAATAAAGCAAAAGATGTATTTTGGGCTGCCTATACTATACTAATCGAAGGTATCTGCTTTACCATCTACCCAACTGTCAGATCTTGAAAGTTTGTGTCAAGTTTGTGTATGAGTTGTATTTTTTGTTGAACACGGCTCTTAAGACCTATTGGAAAAATACAATATAGTTCTAGCAGTACGAAACAAACTTAAGCAATGGTAAGATTTATGCAAGAAGTGTATAGCGATTTTATATTAAGCTATAATTTTTGCAAAAAGACTATTTCGTTATAGGTTATGTTCATGACAAAGCGGTATTTATTGTGTTTGAGCCTAATGAATCCAATAATTGATTTATCGTGTAGCAACAATAATCTTCTAATATGAACGTTTTGTTTTCAGTCTATTTTATCGTACAATGGTGGAGCCATGGTGGCGATGAAGGGGGACCAATGTGTGGCTATTGCTACAGACAAGAGATTCGGCATCCAAGCCCAAACAATTTCCCTGGACTTTAAGAAAGTTTTTGATATGGGCCCACATCTGTTTGTTGGTCTGCCTGGACTTGCGACTGACACCCAGACAGTTATGGAGAAATTGAGATTCAGGTATTATTAACAAATCTATTGTAAACTGATTTAATCAATGTTGTTGTTCTTAGGAAAAATCTTTACGAGTTGAAAGAGAATCGCAAAATGAGCCCCAAAGTCTTCAGTTCGATGGTCTCAAATATGCTTTACGAGAAGCGCTTTGGTCCATTCTTTGTGGAGCCCATTATCGCTGGATTGGAGCCGAAAACTTTTGAGCCTTACGTGTGCAACATGGATCTGATCGGTTGTCCGAACGAGCCCGAGGACTTTGTCGTCGGGGGCACAGCCTCGGCGCAGCTTTACGGTATGTGCGAAGCGCTTTGGGTTCCGAAGCTCAAGCCCGACGAGCTCTTCGAGACCATCTCGCAGGCTCTGATTAACGCCTTCGACAGGGACGCAATTTCCGGTTGGGGTGCAACTGTTTATATCATCGAGAAGGATAAGGTCACAGTGAGGGAGCTGAAAACCCGTATGGATTAAGGTGCTTTCATATGTATTTTTTTTTATATTGCTAATTATAAATTATAAGGTCTTTAAAGTAAAAAAAAAAACTTTAATTATATTTATTTTGTCCACCCGTTGTCACAAGAATAAATAGATATTTCATAATAAAGTCGTTCTTTTTTATTTATAAAATTATTTCTAAGCAACAGATTTTGACTGATCGAAATAATAGATCGCATTTGAAAGAAGTCTTTTTTTTTATATAAATATACAACAAAATATATAGATAATTATTTTGGAGAAGTTTAAATTAATCGTGGGGAAAATGGAGGAAATGGATATAGAACCGGTGATTTACGAGATCACCGAAGAGCTTGTGACGAAGGCTTTGGAAAATACCGAGGACTTCAAATGGGAATGCCGTGTGTACGAGTCTCGTGTGATTTTGGAAGAGATAGTTGAGAAGATGGAGCACAACATCGATCTGAAGGCGACTTACCACGAGAAATGCAGATCCCACAATCAATACGACTTGATGAATCTGCTGAGGACAATCCTCGATTATGAAATGGGTAGGTTGGTTGGTTACTTAGGTAGTTTGAAGAAGATAAAGATAAATGATTGATAAAAATATATTGTATCTGTAGTAATATTAAAAAACACAGTCATCAACACGCTTCCATTAATTGCTAGAATAAATAGCTACCTAAAATATCGTAAGCGATCAAAATATTTGAGCGAGCTTGTTTTCTCATTATTTTTGTTGTTGGAAAAGCCTAATAAATAAATGGTTACATATATATTATATGATAATAAATTGTAGATGATGCAATGTATGAGGCGTTGACGTTTCGCGAGAATTTGATCATTAGCAGATTAGAGCAGAACGGTGCGCCCACTGCCGTAGGAGGTATTTGCGTTAACGTTGAAATGGTCAGAGGGGAGCAACCGTTGGAGAGGAGGATGGAGGACTTCGAATTGAAACTGATGCGAATACTCGACGCGGATGGTGAGGCCGACCATATGGTCGGTGGTAGCATGTTGGAGAGACCCCGTCTCTCAGAGGAGGACGAAACGGGCGGCGCCAACGGTGGTATCGCTGATGGCATCACGTACAACAAGCTGCTTGTCCACGTTGCATCTCAATTCGATGTGGACGGCGTCAACGCCGGTTCCAACATTACTTCCTGGGTGGATCGGAACATGCACACTGTAGAAGAATTGAGAAGGGAGTCAGTCACGACCGTTTAATTATTATTATTAAGAACAGCAAAAAAAAGTTAACACATATTTATGTTTGCAGATTCGTAAATGATGTTAATTATAACGAGAAATCCTTATATATGGGGTTGAAGAAGAAATGGTATTATGTGAAGCATACGAGTAGCATGGAAACATTGGACGAAAGGAAACTGTACAGCCTGCGCAAAGCTAAGAATTACATTTCAGAAGGGGCCAACATAATCCTGTTGCGGTATTTAGCATTCACCAAATACTTTGGTCGCTTCGAATTAGCATGCGCGTATATTAACGGCGATTTATGTAGAAACATCTATGTATATACCAATGTAATATTAATTATAATCTAAATAATTGATTCCTTTTAGGATTGTTTCGGAGCAGAAAGCGCGATGGTCAATGATTGTCGCTTGGATGTTTATAGAGTGAAACGGACTATCATCGAAGAGTGCGGCTTGGAACACGTCTGCGTATCCGTACTTACCCTGCAAGGTCAATTAATTAAACAGGAATGGGAAGATTGCGATTACGTGATGCACGTGAATCCGCACGCGAGATTGACCAACGAAAAACCGCCCGGCAATCAAGAACTTTTGCTTAAAGATTATTGGTTAGAAGATATGCAGATGCTATCCGCGTACTTGGATCAACAAGTAATATTCGCTAAAGCATCGACAAAACAAAAACGTATTTTATTTGTCTCTCTCCTTTCAGAATATCTGCTTGATGAAAAATAAATCGTACATGATCGATCATCCGGAATTGCAGGAGATCATATCTGATTACGTGAACGAGATTCTGATGCTCAGACCAAACAACATACTCGAATTCACGCTGAACTACTTCGGAATATTCGACGAGGCGAATCTGCCGCGCAACGATTACATAAGATAACTTACGTGTAGCTTAATCGCTGAAAATGTGATAGTTGGTGGGTGTTTCGTGGCATATGCCGCAATTCGTAACTTCCAAATCGTCCGGAAGACATCGCTCATGGAAGGAGTGCTTGCAATTGAAGACTATTATGCTATCACGTCTCGAATGGTCTGCAATTAAAATCATCCCAATATACATGTTTAAGTCGAACTAAAAATAATTGTTATAAATTGAATGTACCGGTTTGTAAAATCTTCCTATGACATGCGCCGCAAAACATTTGATCGGACACGTTCACGCCTCGCTGCTGAGTTCTGACCAGTTTGTTGTGCAGATTGAAGTAGTCGGAGACGAGAATTTTTTTGCAACCTTCTTGAAATGACACCTGCAAGTTATACGTGCAGAGCATTTTCACTAAAGAGTTCTTCAGTCCGGGAATCTCTTTATTTGGTTGTATTTTCTTTATGAGCACCGTCGGATCCATGTAGGTGCCTAGACTTTGCAGCAGGAATGTAATGAATTCTGGCTTGTCAAGTGAATGGTTGATCAAATCGTTCCACAAATCCGGATCATTCTGCTGCTGGCAGAACGTAATAGCGTACTGCATGTCTTTCAGTTCATTGATTATCAACTCTAACGCCTCCTTCGTATCGCCGATTCTAGCTGAAAACGATTAAGTACACGTTTAGAACAATACATCAAAAAAATCGTAGAGAATATTATTAACCTAATAAGAACACCATTTCGGGATAGTATTTCGCTTTCACGCATATATCTAGAGCTTCCTGTATGGGATAATGCTTGGAGCGTTTTAAAAGAGGTAACAGCTTGTCTCTATCGAAGATGGAATACAGTTTCACTAACTGCCCGTGGTATTGGTTCTTCGAATCCGTTTTATCGAATTCATCTAAATACTGAAAATGAGACGCATTAATCATTTTTTTTTTATACAAACTATTGTTTGAACTATTATTACTCACTTTGTATAAAAGCATCGCATGGTCGGCCAATTTCGCGACGACAACTTCGCTCGGAATTCTGTTTTTCTCTAGGAATAAAGCGATCGCTTTGCCCTGATCCAAATTCATTAACTCGACGATCATGTTATCCACGATATTGTACAGATTATGTTTTTGGATCAAGTTAAATACGTCCTTATTCTCTAAGCTAAAAATAAACAAATAATTAAATCGTAATATAGTAATTGTTGTATATCTTTTTACTTACGTAAGATACATGGATAAACTTTTATCGTATTGTCTTTCGTAGCTGTAGAGACAAGCCAACGCTTCCAGATATAAGTTTTTATCGATTTCACATATCAATAGATGCTCCAAAACAGCGTTAATCATTGCACTAGTATTATATAATTGATGATTCCATTCTTTGACTAATTTAAGGAATCCCTGAAAATAAAAAAAAATATATTGATTTTCCTTATGAAAAAATGTTTTATATTTTTCATTTACATGTGAATCCATCTTCAAGTATTCATACAAAACCATTTCGTATATATGCTTGTCTAGTTTGCAATCGAGACTTTGTGGAATGTAGGGACTGACTGACCGGAGTTGATGAACGGTTGCGAATTTGAATATTTCCTCCTCCCACATCCCTTTGTTCTTTCCAAAAATCTTGAAGCAAAGCTTACCGGCGGTATCATAGAGCTTCCTACTTAACAAGTAATCTAAGTACGCTATGCCGACGTTTTCGATGGTATACTTTTTATTTTCCCTGGTGTTTGCGTTCGTTATAGCTGTCAACGCTTCTTCGTATTTACTGAATAAATTAAATTAATTGTATTAAATATCATCAGTATTTTACATACTGAACTCACCTATGTTGGATAAGCCAGTGGATTCTATCATCTAAATCGTAAGGACTTGCTATAACTATATCTTTGGGAGCCACAATGAAGAATCTATTCTCTTCTATTAGCACGTCCAGGTTGTAGTCGTTAACCGTGTACTCTTTATAACCACGCAGAGACAGGTAATCTGTGCACACATCGGTGTAGTCATTATCACGATATTCTACTATGTACAGCTGAGGTCTCAACGATTTATTGTCTTCGTCGAGTTCCTTGGGGAAGCCCAACAAGACTAACTGATGGTCCAACGGAGCTATACCGCTTATATAAAACTCTGTCTGGAAGGTGGATACTGGATCTACCAAGTATTCTGGTAAATCGCTGTTAGCCAATTCCATTGTGCTTCGCTTGCGGATGACGCAAACTCTAACAGTATCCACCCATCCGATGAGCAGGGTCCGACTGTCTGCCCATCTCAGGTTACAACGAAAATTCTCCAAAGAAATTCTACAATACATCGATTATACATTTGCAAATCTATAAAACTACTAATCATACCCAGGATGTTCTTCCCATTTAATCAAACCCAGAGAACATCTAGCATTGATATCATACACTCTAACGCCTATATCGCTTGACCAAGCGATGAAATTCTCTCCCCAGCAAAGGCTCCTCACGAATCCTTCGCTCTCGCACAGAACGGTGGATCGCAAACGACTCAAGAAAGTCTTCTCGTAAAGCGTAAGCTTATCATCGCCTCAAATCAATAACCAATCAATTACAATGAGAAACTAAAGACGTGAATGTATTTATTACCTGTTATGAACCGACGGCCAGATGAAGGTTTAAAGTAATTTGGGTCTAAAGCCACGGTTTTCATCAGTCTACCTATATTCAAATTGTGGTTGTTGTCTTTGGAATAGAGGCCCTGCACAAAGACTTTGCCATCATCGGAGCAGGTAGCTATGTAATCCCCTTTAACATCAATTGATATTTGATTCACTGCCACTGCATGTGGCTTCAACTGAACATTCTTGATTAAATTCCCATCATGGTCCAGCACATGCACTGCGCCCCAATGCGACCCCAAACATATAAACTATAAAACAATTATTAATAATTAACATTATCTAATTGCAATTTCAATATCATACTTTGGTGTGAACTGCTATACAACTAGCTGCATCTTTGGACAAGATATTTTTCAAATCATTTATTAGCCTAACATACTTCAGCTTTGGTTCAATCTCCTCTTCAATGCTCTCTGTATCACTGGCACAATCCTGAAACATGTTCAGCAAAATGATCAAAGTGTATATGATTTTAAATAGACAGCACAACAACAAGATAGCTATTCATTATCTTCTTTCAAGGGTCAAATTAATAATATTTTCAACCAAATATAGATATTGTGTTAATGCCACAATCAACAACGATATTTATCATATTGAAACAAACACGTAGAATATCATCTTACAATACAAATAAATTCAATAATTTTTAAGTAGACATATACTATATAACCTTGAATACAAAAACGGATAATTCTTTGAAGATTTTAATTAATTACTTACAGTGAAGCTTGGCTCTGACATTGTGCACTCTTAATATTTGTAAGGTATCATGAAAAAATCATTATTATTCCTTCCAATTATCAACAATAAACGACACTGACAATAGATATCACATTTATGACAGGCAAGTGCAAGTGTTATTGTCTACTCTCTAACATGAAGTAAGCTACAAACATTAGGAAACATTCCGTATGCTAGAAGAAATGCCTACCCAAGTCTTGCAATGACAATTTAATGATTCACAATTTTTATTTGCAAGACAAATAAGTATATTAATAGGATATTTATAAATTATAATTATATATTTTTATTACAATTAAATGTCCAGATCATCATCAGGATCTTCCTCATCCCAGTCATCAATATCATCAAATTCATAATGGATCAAGCCTCCACCTTCTTGTTTCACAGTTTCGTCCCTAAAAAAAAACAATAATTTATAAGCAATAATAAATTTCTTGATACACCATATACTTTGGTAGATAAGGCAGGGTAAAGTTGTCTCTCAACTTCTTATCACTCTCATTTAAACTAATCTTGAATGTAGTTAATGCTTCAGGAATTACAGCAGGCGCTGTTTGCACCAACGTTTTGGGATCTAATTTCTCAATAGCCTTTGTCACCAATTCACCATTCACAAAACTGAATTGTTCATTCTAAAAAAAAATCTACATAAATATTTTTTTTTCTTTGTTAAATAATCCCATCACTTACTTCTTCTATGATTTTCCCAGCAACTTTTTTATAAGTGTAGTTAACCCTAGGCCATTCAGACATGAACATTGGTGAGAGTTTCATGGACAATGTTGACAGATGATTGAAGTATTTGAAGATACCATCATTCTCATTGAACATATCCATGTGCAATATGCTGACTACTTGAACAACCTCTGCAATTTAAATGTTTAAAAAATGATTTACTCAATTATTAACACTTTCTTACTGTTGCTCTGTTTAAGTTTATGGACCAGACTGTAAGTTTTGTCTTTACCAAAATTGATGATCATGTGAGCCATAGAATCTATTATCACAATACAGCTCTCTTGATTTATTAATGACAAGATTTCTTTAATTTGATCATCTGCTGTTCTTTGATTTTCACATTCCTGTATAAAATCATGTTTCTCCACATTCTTCAATAAGCCATCATCATTCAAGCTACGGTTATATTCAAATTCTAAGTAAAGCTGCTTCACTACTCCATTGAATTTCTTGTGATTGTTTATTATGTGTTTCAGGAAATTATTTCCTTTCACTTTAACAGAATCTAGGAAGAAGGGAATGTTTACATGTATTTCATTATTGTATTAATTACATACCTTGTATGAGAACACATTTAGGGGGAGGTTTATTCTTCAAATAAGTGGGCAACATTTCAAAGTATTTCAATTTTGTTATGGCAAAATTGTGGTTAGGTTTTACATATGTTTCTTCAATTACTTGTTATTATTTTGATAGTGCGGGGGGGAATTTTGTTATTGATATAAGAATTATCAAAAATTAAATATTTATTTTAGTTTATTGATGTAGATTAAGTTGTTTAAATAAATTAATTAAAAAAAAAATGAAGTTATTAAAAAAAGGCTTATAAATTTACTGTTTACTTATGACATGATTCAAGTATTTGTAGTTGCATAGTGTGCTATGTTTAAATCAAATTTACTTTTGGGGCCTAACATGAATCAAATAATTTTCAAATTATCTGTAGAATATGTTTAATAAATCTAATTAATTGATTTTTGTAATTGTTATATAATTGCTATTAAATTCATTGTTGTGTATTGATATGGATCAATCGCACTCATTGAATAAACGCTGATAGTTCTTTTACTATAAGCGTAAGTTTATGAGTGGATCGGTTTTGTATCGTACGCACTGATTAGTTACTGATCACTGTTTATATTTTTGTGTATTATATTTATAATATTGATGAAAAGTGATGAGTGCGAAGAGGAATGGTGGTCATATGGAAAGCTTTCTGGAAGAGAAGCCAGAGGAATTCAATCCATTTTTCCGGCAAGTGAGTATCGGACCTCGTGTGTAAAGGCTGTGACCTCTACGCACGCAACATTGATATTTCGCACGCTCGATTAGATTATGCTGATTGCACAATCGAATTCCCGTTTAATCGTCTACCATTTCGCAGCTCTTAGCATCCATTGGACCGATCCTGATCATCATCTCTAACGGAATCGTGTGCGGATATTCGGCGATACTTCTTCCTCAATTGGACAGCCCCACGAGTCCCATACAAATCAACAAAAATGAGCAATCTTGGATCGGTATATTTTAGATACGTTTGTTTCAATATACATTTTTTTGAAGGTGTGTATTTTTAGCGAGCATGGCGCCTTTGCCAATGGCGCTCGGATGCTCGCTGGTTGGCTGGGAAATGGACAGATTTGGCAGGAAGATCAGCCTAATTTTGAACTCGGTTGTGCTCATCCTAGGCTGGATCATCATCTATTTTTCGACTTCGGTGGTTTACCTTCTCATTGGACGCGCCATTACTGGCTTCTGCATTGGCGGTACCAGTCCGGTGGCTTCTTGCTACATGGCCGAGGTGACCTCGCCTAAATACAGAGGATTGTTTCTTTCCTGCTTCGGATCTGGCATCGCATTTGGTTTATTTCTTCCACATTTATTCGGCACTTTCTGGTCGTGGAACACCACTTCACTTCTGGTTACCATTTGTCCCATAATTTGCATAATACTGATGCCCTTCATACCCGAATCGCACGTCTGGTACTTGAATAAAAATGATATCGTTAATGCCAAAAAGGCGTTCCATTGGTTCCGCGGTTCACAATCGGAAGAAGAACTTGAAGCGATCCTCGACACGCAAAGCAAATGCATCAAGAGAAGTTTTAGAGACTCCTACAAGGATTATCTAAAACCAACATTCTATAAACCGCTGATGATCTTGAACTTGCTCTTCATGACCGTTCAGTTCTCCGGTAACAACGCTGTTATATTTTACTCGGTCAGCATAATGCAGGAAACCGTAAAGTCTTTAGATAAATACGCCGCGATGTTAATTGTAGATGTGATCAGGGTGATTATCTCGCTGATTGCCAGTGGGTTTATACAAAAGTACAAAGTGAGACCACTAATTATGATTTCGGGATTCGGAAGCGCACTGTCTCTCTTCATTTTATCGATTTGCATACATGCGGCTAACATTTATCCCGAAAATATTGTCATCGTTTCTTTGCCGTTGTTCGCATTGTTGATGTACATCGTATTCGTTAGCTTCGGATTGACTTCGTTGCCATGGGCACTCTGCGGAGAGCTATTTCCGGCGGAAACAAAGGGCATCGGTGGAGCTGTCGGAGCTTGCGTCAATTTCTTGTCGTTCTTCGTCGTGGTAAAGACGAGTCTCGATATGTTCGAACATTTGGGTAGTATTTGGACGTTTGCCACCTATGGAAGTTTTTCACTGATTGGTACAACCATAGCGTTTTTCGTTTTACCAGAGACGAAGGGTAGGACGCTCAACGACATCGAGAAATATTTCAATTCAAATACTTGATGTAAATATTTCCTAGCCAATTCTACTAAATTTAAATAATTTTTCTTTAGTATAATAATTATTTAGTTTTTTTTTTTATTTATGTGCTGTTGCTTTTGCGACAAAAACTAGAAAATGGAAACAGAAAACTAAGACATTAAGAAACAATATGTCCATACTTAATGTACACTTAAAAATTAGCGAATTTAACTAAAATTGAATAAATGTTTTATAATTATGTTTCATCTTTTATTAATAGCTCCTTTTTGATACAAAGAAATAATAATTTCAAGTTTATTTTTGTAGAGTTCGTATAAATATATTATTGTACTATTGAATCGTTTGCACTATTATTCATTATCTTAGTACAATTAGCGATTGTATTGTTTCTTTTTATATTTTATCGATTTGTTTGTTCATTTGCATTTATACGACAGGTAAAAAATAATTGTTATTGTTTTCTGTTTGTTTACTAAATAATTTACTGGTTATCAAACCTGTCAACCTGAAGGCCCTCTCCAAATGGGTAGGCAACATCCCCGACGACGTCGTCAAAGATATGATTGACATCGCTCCGATGCTCTCGATCCTAGGCCAATCCCCCGAACTACGGGCAACCAGTCGTTCAGGTGGCTGATAACACCAGGGACATCCAGAGGAACAGCGACGTCTGGAAGCGCAAAGTCAAGGAGATGTTCAACGTGAAGTACGGACACCGATATGGACAAATCTCTGAAAACGTGACTCTGTGCTAAAGTGATGATGATTGCGGGATCAACAAAATATGTGGATATATAAACTCGAACCTCCGAATACAATTTTTTTAATTTTTTATTTGTATTCTTCTGTTATGAATAATCGTTATTGTTTATATTATGTTAGCTCTTATTATTGTATACATGTTTATGTATGTAAGTCATTAAGACTTAGAACAAACACCACTTAGGAAGATCCCATAACTAATCACTATTGTTAGTCAACAGGTTGTGCACAAACTCAAAGTTCCAATCAATAATGACCTCTAATATGTACATCTGCCTAATGACTTAATTATTAGGAAAAGTTAGTTAGGATGTTTATATAATATAAAGTTAATCTGAGAGTGAGTCTTGGAAGGGCAACCCAAGCTACGAGTTAGTAGCTGGAAGCTAGTTTAAAAACTCACACTTACTACTAAAACCCTCTTCAGACTCCGCAACGACAGAAATATAAGAATATCCACGGTGTCCAAATTCCATCCGCGCGAGACGAAACTTCGACGAAATAAACATACTTGTTAATACCGCCAATGTGGAAGTAATTGTTTCTATTCTACGAACATTCCTCTCCAATCCATGTAATCGGACATCTCCAAAAGTTTAATATACAAATTTATTATAATTAAATTAATTTTTAAATATTATCCTAATAAATATATTCCAGTTAGTTAAAAAAACATTTTATGATTTATTTAGTAGTTTATTTTATAATAGATATAGATAACATAAAATTTTTGTAAAAAAATTAATCATGACCGACTTCTTCCAGTTTTTATATATTATATAACAATAATCTAAATATTTGCGTAAGTTTTGTACAATATATACAGGACGCTTGTAAAAATATCTAGACCAGCGTGTCTCAACCTTTTAGTCTAATTCCTAAGAGTATTTCACAAGTTCTACGCTTTGACACAAGGTGACAGCTGTCATTTCAAGACTCGTTAAAAGTTTAATGCGATCCAATCTTGTGTTACGATTAATAAGTTGAGATGTTTAATATAATTTTGAAATTGGGAAATAAAATAATAATGTTAAATATTTGGTGTTTATTATATTACAATATAAATAAATATACAAAAAAAAATATATATATACAGTTGTATATTATTTGTGTTCACAGGTTGCGCTTGAATCGATATTTACGTAGGTTTATTGAGAATGGGTTTCTTCACTTTGGTGAAGTGTGCCTCGATCTCTTTGAGGGTTTTGTTCTTAGTTTCTGGTAGCACGAAGTATAGGATGACTGTGCCGGTGAAGGCAAAGACGCCGTAAGTGCCGAAAGTACCGGCCGTGCCTAAAGTGTCGAACATATCCGGGCTAGTCTTCACCACAGCGAAGAAGGTGAGGAAGTTGATGGTTGTACTTATGCCACCTCCGATTCCCTTGGTGGCTTGAGCGAACAGTTCTCCGCACAACGCCCATGGTAGTGGTACTATTCCAGTGCTGATGCAGACTATGTATGAGATCAGCATCACCAAAGGCATAACTGAGAATGTCTTGTTCTCTGGGTAAAGTTCGGATAAATAGACGAAGAGCGCCAGTCCGAAGAGGGAGGTGAAGGTGCCGATGCCGCTTACGATGGTCAGCGGACGCACTTTGAACTTCTTGGTGAGTACACAGGCGCATATCGAGATGCACACTCTGATAAAATCGACAATCAACATTGCAGCGTACTTGTCCAAGGTGGTCACCGTCTTCTGCATGATAGTCACGGAGTAGAAGACGACTGCGTTTTGACCGGCGAACTGGACCGTGGTGAAAAACACGGAGAGGATCATTAAAGGTTTGTAGAATTGCGGTTTCGAGCACTCTGCGAGCAGCTCCTTCCAGGATCGCTTCTTCGTATCCTTCGTTCTGGATTCGAAGATGATGGAGAGCTCGTGGCGGGACGCCTCATTGTTGCCGCGCAACCAGAAGAAAGCTTCCATGGCGCGTTTGTAGTCGTTTCGATTGGCGTACCAGATGTGCGATTCTGGTGAGATGATGATGAAGATGAACGCTGCGATTGGGCAGGCTGCCATTATCAGAGCGGTCACTTGCCAGGCGAGGAATGTGCCCAGGATGTGCGCTATGAAGAGGCCCAAGGCGACGCCGAGAGCTATAGTTGCTAGGAATATACCGCGATATCTGGGTTCGCAGATCTCGCCTATGTAAATTGTCGAGGATGGACCAGTTGTGCCGATGAAGAAGCCGGTGATGAGACGACCCACCATTATGTATTCCACCGAAGTTGCTTGGTAGATGAAGACCCAGCCAATCGTCAGGAATATCGTTCCGAGTATGTTCGATTTCTTTCGACCAAATCTGTCCATCATCCAACCCCCGAAGATGCATCCGGCTGCCATTGGTAAAGGAGCCAATGATGCTAAAATTTTAAATTAATAAAATGAACAATACTTAAGCCGTTATCTTATAATAAGACCAATAAATATTAACTGTATGTTTTGATTTAACCTTAGAACTTTGAATTAAATATAAAAAAAAATAAGTATTTAATAATATGGTGACAGCTGTCATTTTGCGACTTAAATTTAATAATTCTTAAAGCAAACTAATTTTAATTATAGATTTTTCAAACTAATTAATAGCAATGCTTATTGTTTCTTCCATTAAATCAGTATTTCATAAGAAACTTACTACTACATACATCTTTTAACACGGAGAAAACAATAAAAAAAACAGGTTGTTGTTGACATTCGATGCATCATGCAAGAAAACCTTGAGGTATCTCAGAATTACTTTGATGGCTATAAATTTAATATATATAAAAATAAAGCAAGAACTTGAATGTGTACTACATCTAAACAGAAGATATCAAGACAAACTTAATTATCACATGAAAGTGAATCTAAGGTTTGCATTATTTTTTTAATGACACATGTCACTTTGTGTCAAAGCGAGAAATTGTTAAGACTAGTACAAAAGTCGCTGTTTTAGCGATAATTGAACAATAAAGTTTTCCTATATTTGTAATAATTTTATAACTAATTTATACACACCAATCCAAGATTCCTCATTTTTGGTAGCTTTAATAGGACTATCCTTATACTCCAATTGCGGAAGTAGAATTGCGGAGTAACCGGAAACCATGCCACCGCATATCGTCAGCAGTATCGGACCCAAAGAACCTATAGTCTAGAAAGTAAATTTAATGAAACATTCAAGAAATCTGTTAAATTTTTCATCGCAAACTCACCTGTCTGTAGAGTGGTTTAAAGGTTGTCTCTTGAATATCATCGAGGAGACTGCCGAAAGCCTCCTTGCTCTTATCGACGTTCAAGGAGGGATTCGATGGAACAATTTGAATTTTCTTGTCGTTCAACATAATTAACAATTTTTTTGTTATCCTCCTTCAATAATTATCACAGATTCTAGAATTGATCCTCACTTGACCATGGTTCCTCTGAAAATTAATCAAGTCATATTGAAAACCTTGACCTCTCACACATTTTCTTAAAATTTGAAATACAAAAAAAAAATGATAATTTCGCAATTTCACTAATTTGCTTTAATAAGGATTATAATCACCTGGCCAGATATGTTGAATATTTGCACTGTTAATATTTGCACGAACTATAGTTCTTGTATGTAGCAAGCGATTGTTGATGATGATCAGAGCGGAACAGAACAAAACAGGATCACATGTGACGATGAACTGATGTAATTACGAACGAATGTCTCCGCGGATTCGGATTCGCTCGATCTGATCTGGTATAAACCAAATATTGAGCACCACTCATCATTCGGTAGTGACGCTGCGATATTATTTATTTTTATTCCGATTGCGATTCAATCGTTTCATACTAATCACAATTATATGGCATTACCTTGCATTTCGTACGATAACGCCAGAAAGCAGTTTTCTCACAAACACCAAATACACAATAACTTATTGGCGACAATACAAATTTGTAAATAAATAAATAAATTATAACAATAACAATATTTGCATAATTTTTAACAAACCGAAAAATGTATATAAGTTTTGGAATAATCTAAATATTAATATAGTGTAGGAGTATGAGTATAATTATTGCAATTTTAGGGTATTTCTTAGGGTATTTAGCTACATATTATCGATAATTATTAATTAAAGCATTAAACCAAAAATGTGGAAAAAGTTAGATTACTTTAAATTAAGATTAAAAGGCTTAGTTCGAATTTTCAAATAAATAAGATTGAAATAATACGAGATTGAAATACAGTGGAACCTCGCTTAACGAGTTTAATTTTTACTCGTATAGTGAAACATATTCAAAAATACACATAATGTGTGTACACAAGTTCTAAAAATGATGTAGCAGGCACTCAATTCGGGACTTCTCTTCTCATCGTCGCTCGTTAAGCGAGTCAGTTTTCTTACAATTCATTTTGCTCGTTAAGCGAGTTTTCGCTGTATTTCCTACGAGCTGCAAAAAATCAATTGTTAAATTTCTACTGAATATTTCTTAATAATAAGTAGAAGCTGAAGGAAAACTACTTTAAAATTGCGAATATAAAGAAAAATGATATTAAAATTAATATTTAAACTGTAAATGATGTATATATTTAAAAAATTAAACTTCTGCTGTGTCAATCGTTTCTTAAATGTTAAATTGACAGCTGTCACCTTATATTAAGACGTAGTAGTTTTGGAATATTCTTAGCAATTGGGTCGGTGTACATCTATAAACATATACTTTGCGTAGCGTGACAAGAGGGTTGAGAAACGCTCTTTGTTTTTGCATGTATATTTAAAGCGTGCTATGAAAAAGTAAGTAAAATTAGTGTAAAAGAAATATTAAGTACAAAATTGTGAGTACAAAAATAGTAAATTAATATGAAAATTAATATACTTGAAATGAGCTGTGGAAATCCCATATTACCAATTAATTGGATTTGGATTATTGAGAAATTCATAAAAAAATATCATCGTAATCATCGAAGGCTTACGTCAAATACAGAACACTAAAACAAAATGTAAGAAACAAAATAGTAATAGTGAAACTGACAGTTAATTTTGTTGAAATTGTGACAGTTTAACATTTTGTTTTATAGTATAGCAAATACATTTTATACAAACGCATTCTTGCAATTTTCAAAGTATATAACTAATTGATATTGAAATTAATAGTTTCAATGGATTCATTCATCTTTGTTTATATTAAAAAAATATATCATTATATTCATCGAAGGCTTAGGTCAAATAGTGAACACAAACCATGCACATTTTATACACAAATATTCTTAAAAGTCTGTAGATAAGTATTAAAATTAATAGTTTAAAATAATAAATTTCATTTCGTTTGTAATGTTATTGCAAATTTCATATATATTGCAGACAGTGGTAGAGCAACATGAGTCGGTCACTTACTTATCAAATGGATATCGCTAAGGTTACGTCAATTACACACATAAACATTCACCGTTTCGCAAGAATCTGTCTTACGCCGATTTCCTTGCTAATAGTTTAGTTCTGTTTACTTATCAGTTTGTTGTGTGCTTAAATTAAATTTATTTTTACTTATTTTTTTTGTTCAATATTCATATTTAAATGTACACAGAATTAAGTATTAAATTTACATAAGTTTTCTTACATACGTCATCTATATTTGTTTTTAAGATTTCCGAAAGTTTTCTTTTTTAAATTTCACTTTCTATGAATCTCATGAGTTTAAAATCTTTGTTTTAGATCAAAATATGATCTTAATTTTTCTTTTTGCTCAATATCAGTATTTATATATACATGTTTCCCCCGACTTACAAACTCCCGACTTACGAACTCTAGGACTTAAGAACAAAATTCTAAAAGCACACTAAAATTGATAATTTCTTTAATAAAATATAATATTTTTGGAAGATGTACTATCTGTTTTGTTGCATTTGTTTTATTTGTCGTTTTTTATTAAATAATTGTGATGTATACATTGAAAAGTATTTGTAAGTAAGTATTTTGCTTATTAATCTATTTTATTTAATTTTATGCTGTCAGTAATACGTAATTTAACGTAAAAGTAAAAACAAAGATAAAGTTTTTTTTTAAATTCTCCCGACTTACAAATAAATTTGACTTACGACTTACTTACTTTCGACTTACACTTTGGAACGGATCTAGTTCATAGGTCGGGGGATACCTGTATTCGAGTACAGATTTTTAAATATTCTATACGATTTTACTTATGTGCTTATTGCACTTAAGTCATCGTCTATACTTGAAATATATAAAAAAAAAGTTGTTTTGAAGTTAAGTTTTGTTTTTCCCCCAGATCACACGTGTCATGAAAACAATGTTGACATTTCATTCTATTTAAATAAAAATATTATTACGTATCCAAAAAATGATCGAGTTGCTTAAATAACAGAAGCATGGCAATAAAATTGTCAGCTTCATACAGAGAACTAAACGAACAATTCAGATGTTTACTGTCAACAACGAATGAAAATGGAGAAATCAAACCAAGAAAAATACATATTTGATCCAAAGTTCATGCTTTGAATAAAAGAAAACAACATGATTTGAAGTTAACTCACTTTAATATTATTTATTAAAGGATATTGAAATCTCAATATATTGGATAACAATATTTATGTGAATATTTAAAAAAAACTTTATTTCATACTGTAATTATCTACTTTCTAAGTGCTTATTGTAATTCGTATTGTTTTCAATTTATTAATCTATTTATTTTTATAGCTAGTTGATGTATGGATGTAGTTTTTTTTTTATAAATAATGGAAACGATTGAGATGGTTTCCTTAATCTAATCAAATATAGATTTATTTATCTATTGAAAAGGAATTTCGGCGAAGGTAGTTTCTATTTATCAGTTAAAATCATTACTGATTATCGAATTATGTAAAATGATTTACAACAGCCGGTTTATAAAATATGATTTTTTTTGCTATTGTGTAAAAAAACTGTAATAATTGATACATTTTAACCTATTAAATATATTTAATGAAATGTGTCATCATAATCATAGAAGGCTTATGACAAATAGTCAGTAACAAAATATACTTGATTGAACAGTAAGAGTGAATGTGACAGATTAACATTGTTTTTTTTTATAGAATTCCAAGTACATTTTATACTAACTATTTTTTTTGTAAATCTGCAAGTCTTTATGTCTACTATCATTCTTGAATGCATCATTGAAGGCTTATCTCAAATAGTGAACACAGAAACAAAATGTAAGAAATAAAACTGACAGATTTTTTTTAATAACTTTATAATAATAATACATTTCGTGATAATCTGTAAATATTTATTTATACTAAATAAATAAATGCATGAAATAATAATTGAACTAATCTATTAACAATTGTATTATTGAACGCTTATGTGAAAACAACAAAATGTACATTATGAAACAGCTGTGGTGTTTTGTTTATAGAAAGTTACAAGTACCCTTTGTACTGCAATATCCTTGCAAAATCTAACTGAACGTAAACATTTTCTAAGGTTAAAGGAGTACAACAGCTTTCATTCGTCGTTATAAATAGCGATATTTGTTCAAAAATTAATTGTACTTGCACTAACATCATGCACATTTATGATTAAATATTGACGCTTATAAAAAAAACGTATTGTTTCAACAAATACAAAGAAATATTTCGAACATACCTTATACGTCTCATTTTGTGATACATGCTAATAAAATTAATCATAACAACTTTGTTGATATGTCGCGATTTTGTCAATTTTTTTTTGTTAATAGATATATTATTATTAGTTTTTTTGATTCACGTTACAAATTAGGTGCTTGGCAAATATTATGTGCAAAATAATGTACATAATTTTATGTAAAATTGATTTGTTTATTAATTAATTATCACATTTCTTTGTTAATGCAAAAAATAAATATTGAAAATTTCATTTGACAGTTCGTTAAGTTTTGTTTTTCCCCTAGATCACACGTGTCATAAAAACAACGTTGGCAATTCTTCAACAAAATTCACAATTAATTTATAGATTTTACGTCTATAGAAACTTATATAAAAATTATTAAAGAATTAAAATGTTATTAATGCGTTGTGCGTTTCTTTTTTAAGACGTTGACGACGGCATGGTGGGTCATAAAATATGAACAATAGTTTTGTCGCTATGCACGCCACTGAGTTTGACTGAGTATAACCTTAAATATCTTACGTCAATTACAAAGCTTAAGCGCCAATACATTTCTTATACATATTTTAATAATTCTTGAAGCAATATAAAATAATAATTGGTATTGTGACATAATTGATGAATACTTTACAAAATAAAGTTTGAAATTGACGTAAGGTTCTTGACTTTTCACCCAATCCATGGGCGTCCATGAAAAATTTTCTCGCAGCAGGCAAACCGATTTGCGACGTCCTTATCGTCTTAATTGGATCAAAGTGTTAAATTTTTAGTTTTCTTTATGCTTAATTTGGTACTTATTGAAAAGTTTTGTGTTTGCATTTTTGACAGTCCGGCTTTTTGACTTTTCAATTATGTCACCTAACCTCAACTATTCAATTATGATATGAAAAGGGTGAAAAGTCAAATATCTTACGTCAATTACAAACTTAAACTTTTCTTTTACATTTTTGAATAATTTTTAAACAGTTTATAACTTCAATTATTCAATTATGGTAAGTTATGGTGGCGTATTATCGCCAAAAAGATACAAGAATTGGTTAAATTTAAATTTTAGTTGAAAATAATTGATTTTTTCAAGAAATAAGACGTCAGTCGATAGACTTTTTAGATTTAGTATTTTTTTTATTATTATTTTTAAAGCAATCTATCATCTGACATCGAAATCTAGCCTTATGAATGTGGTAAAGTAAGTTAAAAAAGGACACTATAATAATAATTAATGAAGTGAAGATCCAGCAACCCCACTTCACATATACGATAATTTTTTATGCACTTGCACACATTAATAATCAATATTTAAAATCGGTTTGGTAAATCTTGTGGTATTAATACTTTTATTAATTAATAAAAAAAATGAATTAACAGCAAATATTTTCGTTCAACGTAAATTGGAATAGAATTCAGACTTTAGACTTCAGACTTCAAGTTATTTTCTAAATCTTCATTATTAACAAATTAACATGAATAATTGATTGAGATATGTAGGATATCAACATTTATATAAATCTAACGTTAGGATAACATAAATTAATTAATTTTACAACAATACCTCGCATAGTGCGGTTTCATTTTTCATACATAAATGATCATACAATCTCTATTTGTTTTGTATTCTTCAATTTGTGCGGTTTTTATATAGTGCAGAACCGATTACCCGCACTATTCGAGGCATTTCTATATTATTACTTTTAGATCAAGTAGATCAAACAGATATTATTGAAACGATATGTTATTTATTGAAATATCAACGGTTGCAATTCATGCATTCCGTTCCAATATACGTGATTACTCTGTTGTTATTGCACTTCTGTTGCGTCGTGTAAATAATAAGTGTTGTGCAACATCGAGTTGAAACCAATTAATACTCACATGTGATCAATTCATATATTACCAACAGATGAAACGAACAACAAAGAAACTGAATCATTGCATTATTTCAATAAAAATACTATTTATATAATTGTCAGTTTTGGATATGTCGAGTACTATAAACAAAACAAAAGTGAACCAATAATTACAAAATCATGATCACCTTGGACTAGTAACATTACGATATCATGAAACAATTAATAACAATTATAAATTAATTAAAAATAATTTGTAATTGGTTATAAATGCAATATTGTTGTTTTTAATCGAATTCGAGCTGCATGTTTGTTTCGCGAATTACTACTTGTTTACAGATTTGCTTGTTTACAGAATTACTGCTTGTTTTTACGGAAATTCTTTGTGCAATTCGTATATTATTGAATATTTCAATTTTGTAATGTGTTCTTTCGAGTGCAGTGCCATCACGTATTTGAACTGGATTACTACTTTTTTTTTGCGTATTATTAGTGTTTAGCATATTAAACGAATGGAAAGCATGCATGTTTGATAACTGATTATATATGTTTTGTGTGTGTGTGTGAATGTGCGCTGGTGAATGAATGAGTTAAGTAACGAAAGTCTTGGGAAAGACTTACCTAAATGGTGGTCGGGATGGATGGAGGAGCGTGCTGGCGCATAGTCTGATGTATTCCATCTAAATAACGAAGCGGTGGTGTATGCATGCAGCTGTACTCGCATCAAGTACGTCGCTGTGGTGCGAATGATTTGTATAAATGAATATTGAAAGTGAGTTGATATCAAGATGATCTCGCGCTTTTTACGTGATTTTTTTTATATATTAATAAAGTTTCTGTGAAATGCATGTAAATAATGTAGATGTAAACAAATACACAAAACCATATAGCACAGATATCTTGATTTGTGAAATTTTTAGAAATACAAGTATCCCCCGACTTACGAACTAGTTCTGTTCCAAAGGGTTGTTCGTAAGTCGAATTTATTCGTAAGTCGGTGGAATTTTAAAAATTTTAAAATATACTTTTCTTATCACACTTTATCATAGTTTTTACTTACAAATACTTTTCAATGTAGACATCACAATTATTTAATAAAAAACGACAAAAGAAACGAATGCAACAGATCGTTTCCAAAAATATTATATTTTATTTAAGAAATTATTAATTTTTGTTTGGACAGTTAATGTTTTTTTATCACTATATATCTCCTTGTAACATGTTAGAGCTTTTGGAATTTTGTTCGTAAGTCCAGGAGTACGTAAGTCGTGGGATATATGTAATTTTATTTCATATATTATGATATAAGCGTCTAAGAAAATATTAAAAAAAAGAGTAGAAATCCATTGACGCTTTTGATTGAAATATGCTTTACATAAAGATTTTTTTATATTGTGTAAAGAAACTCTGTTTTTTTGGAAATTGTCATTTAAGTCTATAGTTAACTATAAATAAAACATTGATTACTTTTTCAGACATACATTTTCATTATTATATCAAATTAAACAAGGAAAACTTCTAATTTGTAGTATAATAATTGATTTCCATTTTATATTTCTTTGAAGAAAAAATTGTTAAAATTTAAATATATCTTTATTGCAGTAATTTCCACTGGTCTGACATGAAACGATCATTTTTTCTTTATAAATTATTATTTCAAAATTGAACATTTTCTCATATTTTTTTGCGTTGAAAATAAATTAATAACATTTTCTATATACAGTGGAACCTCGCTTAACGAGGAATTGTAAATTGTAAGAAATGAAATTGTAAGAAATGAAATTGTAAGAAAAAGGCTCGCAAAATGAAACGAATGTAATATAGATAAATATTACATTAGTTTATATGGGGAAAATTGTGTAAAAATACGGAAATTTTGGAACCAATTATGTTCGTTAAGCGAGGTTCCACTGTATATATAATATAATTTCATCCAAATTAATCTTCTAATATGCTTAAGTACTATTTTTTTTTATTTCTTTTCATTTTATTTAATTGTGAAATCTTTCATTAGATTATTGAATATGTTAGTTACAGCACAAATTATAACTTCTCTATTTAATTTTCAAATGTGATAAGTAATTTTTTCAAATTATTGTAAAATTGATCGAAAATACTAGTTTTTGAAGTTATATTATTCGAAAATTGTAAATCTTTTTTTATATTCACTTTTCTGTTTCGCATCTAATACTTAATATTAATCAATACAGAGATATAGAATTTCTTAATTCTCTCTCTCTTTATATTTTCTTCAAGTGGTCGATAATGATGCATGCTAATTATAATCAATCATTGAATTTTCATACTAAAGATAACATTCAAATAAGCTTACTGATATACTAGTAGTATTTAATATACAGTGGAACCACGCTTAACGAGTTTAATGCGTTCCAAAATTTCCGGATTTTTACTCGTATAGTTAAAAATATTCAAAAATACACATAAAATGTGTACAAATTCAAGTTTTAAAAATGATGTAGCAGGCGCGCAATCCAGGACTTCTTTTCTTATCGTCACTCGTTATGCGAAACGTCGCTCGTTAAGCGAGTTATTTTGTTTACAATTCATTTTGCTAGTTAAGCAAGCTTCCAGCTTTCAAATTTGAGAAGTAATTTTGTCTAATTATTTTCAATAGATATAACTTTATTTTCTTCATGTCTGTATGTTTCATTCAATTACTCGATAATAACGCATGTTAATTAAATAATTCAATACGCGAATTACAGAAAAAATTATGACCATTTATATAAGCTTACTGTTAAACTTATACTATTTCCTATTTTCTTACAACAAACTTTCAAAGTTCTAGACAATAATAACAGTTTCTAAGTTCAATATTATTCTTTAAAACTGTTAACCATTTTATAATATATGATTACACAAGAAATGATCTTCTTGCGCATCTTTTGATGTAATTATTGTTATATAATAATAAGTATTGATGATATATTTCATGTTTTTTTCATGTCTGCATGTTTTATTTAATTACTTGATAACGACTCATGTTAATCAATTCATAAAATATGTATATTAAACAGAAAACAATAATCTATCTAATATGAATGATAGTTTTCATCAGATTCAGTTAAATCTTTAAATGAAGTCAACATTAAATCTATAAATTTTCAATAACAAAAAAGAAGAAATATATTTATTATACAACAAACAAATGTAATACATAGTTAAGACAACAGACGACAAAAGTAATTCCGTCTTCAAATAACAATATCAACAATAAACACGTGAAGAATACATATCTATATCTATTCAAATACAAAAATAAACAGAGCTTTATCGAATTTCGGTACTGGTGTACATATAAAATATAAAATACAAAATATATTTATATATCTATAATAAAAAAAAAGGAGTAATCAAAAATAATAATATTTGGTACATTGTAAAATAAAATCAACAACACCGCGTTTCCAACGCAACGCAACCTACACACCTAAATCTTAATATTCCTTCTATCTACTACATAGTGTCAATTTGTTCCTAAGCAAAGCTTGCTCATTGGATGCTCGGTTTATCTCGAAAATACACTAGCTATTAAGCTCCACGCGACACTGGCAATGATGTAGTAAATCACGAATTTTATCGTCTTATTGAGGAGCTCCAATCTGAAATTGTTATTTGTTTTTAGATTTATTTTAATTGAATTAGATCAAAATAAACGAGTTTAATTTACCTGTACATTCTGGTTCTGCTTTCGGGTAACGATTCTTCGGACTCCTTCATCACGTACTGTCGAATACCGAGCACGTATGTTTTGAAGTAGTCTCGCCAATGGACGTCCCTCATGCTCATCGGAAAGATCCGTTTATCCTTCGAATCCATTTTCTCGTGAAGCTGCTGCACGTTGTCGTTGGTGAACGTCCAATCTCGCGTGCAGAAGTACTCGATGACGGCCGTGTACTTGTGTACCTTCTGGTACATTTTTATGAATCTGAAAAAAAAAATCAGTTTTACAATTACATTTTCATAGGGAGTTTACGAAGAAGTTGAACGTACTTTGGTCGTTGCCCACTGATTAGAAGTAGTGCATCCAAGAAGCAGGCAGGGATGAAGTGGTAAACGATCCTGTTGGCAACGTTCACGTGTTCGCTGATCGTCGTGCTGAAGCTAATGCACCAGATGGACTTCAAGAAAGGATAATCGTGTCCGTAGAACGTGTTGAACGTGTTGTACTCCAACCAAGTTATCGGGTTTTCCGTTGTCGAAACGTAATTGTAAATGGGAATGTTCTCTTTGATTCTAAACCATAAATATGTAATTATTGAAACCAACGCAATCTGTAGATCTCACCTCTCCTTAGTTTGACAGGATACGTCCCAAGCGGAAGCTAGTAGAGCTGCGACGCAGGTATCAACAGGTACCACGTTTGCTATACCGCTGTCCTTGCACTGCATGCTCTTCAGGAGACCAGAAGCTACAGCCGCACAAGCACCTGTAGGTCCGTAAAGGTTGTCGATCCATGAAGGGAAAGGTTCTTTGTACGTCGAGACAACTATAAATCAAATTAATTAAATAATTTTTGCACGATTACATAAAAACTTTAACTACTCGCGCACTGACATTTCTATGTACTACTCGCGCGGTGTATTTTATACACCACATGTATTACTGCCAGACGGAGTGCATAAATGATTGTATTACAACAAGAAAAAAAGTTTTCATGTTAAGTAATGTTTTTTTATAGAAATCTATTGTAGCTCATGAAAGCACGAAATATTTCTGAGCCTGTGCCATCGTTTGTCCAAAAAAAAGTGGATATGATTCTGTTTCTTATACACAGATAACAATCTAAGAACGAACCTCCAGAAAACAACTACTTTGTGTCGTAGTCAACACAATGCTGTACCAGCGTTTAGTAAACACTTAGGGCATAGGTTACGTTAAGTGTCTTTGATTGGGGAAAGATAATGTAGATGTGGTATCATTTCTTAGAAGATTTTACATATTAGATTTTTAAGTTTTTTTATATCTTTACAAATCAAAATATTTTTTATAAGTCTTGGTTAACAATTTCTACACTATAGCAAATATAAATTCAATTCTTGACAAAGCATTTCTTGTTCATTGCATTGCCATCAAATATTTCAAAATAATAAAAAAAATCAACTAAATTTAAGTATGCAAGGAAATCAACAAAACATATAGAAAACTGGATAAAATAGAGGTGATGAAAGTGAAACTTCGTAAATGGATTCGAAGAATAAAATCGATTTTTTTCCAAATTGTTCTCAAATGATTACAGATAATTGTAAATTTGATAAAGAGCATACAAATTATTTAATTACTTTTTGGATATGATATAGAATATCCAAAAAGTAATTGAAAAAATTTGAAAAATATTTTCCAATTGATGAACTTGATAGCAGAAAATTGTGGATTATCCTTATAATACAAATTTATCACCATCCCACGATAACTAGACCTTGCTTGAATTGACAAAGGATTTAAGTTTGCTACAAAAAGAAACAAACAAGAGTGAAGTGTATTCAAAAACAAAAGTCTCATTAATTTGGCACATCGTATTATATAGTAGGCTGCGAAAATATTTTAAAATTTTACGTACATATTTTAGGATTTTAAGGTGGCCACGACTATTGAAAGATTAAGAAGCACTGCTCTGAAACACTCACCGATCGCTGGCCTGAAGACGCCGATGGGCATACCGTTGGTTTTGTCCTGGATCATGGCTTCGGCCAGGGCTTTCGTGAAGGCGTACGTGTTTGGCCAATTTCCTAAAATTCTTAACAGAAAATATAGTAGGTGTTATTTGTGCGCGTCTCCAAATATCATCAATCGCTTTCGCACTAACTTTGACGTGCTCTCCTTGATCTCCTCCTTGCTCATCTTATCCAGCATCGCCTCAACATCCTCATAATTCACCGGATATTCGTAGAATTTCTCCTCAATCTCCGCCAGATGACAATTTGCATACGCAGTGGAAACATGCACGAAGGCCTTAAGGTAAAATTTCAAAATATCATTAAACATCCAGCGTAATAAAAGCGCGAAACCGCAAACAAAACTATTACATCTTTATTTACGATTGTCGCCTTCACAAACAATTAATAAATTTGCGTTCTATTATTATGCAAAGACCGAAGAATCATACTCATTTGAGGTGCGTGACGACAGCAATTTGCACAAATTAAACGCAAATCTATTTGTTCTTAGTATTTGTAATTATTTGTACCTTGAGGTTTTCCATATTCCTGCACAAATTTATCACATGTTTCGTACCGTTCACGTTGATCGCATAAGCCAAGTCCAGGTCTTCGTCGAAGCGAACTGTGGCGGCAGCGTGGAAGACGATGTCCACGTTTCTTTCCAACATATTCCTGTCGTTCAGACTTATACCAAGTCCGGCCAATGAACAGTCGCCGCTAATACCTATGACTTTATGCTTATACTTTTGATTTGACAGTTTAACTTTGTCAAATATCTGAAAGAAAGAAACAGAAAGAAATGTAATGTAATGTAATTTATCTTCTAGAATTTATGTATATTTAATTAATTTTATGAAAGTTATTTCATTTTATCTATTAAATCAATAATTTCCTATCATAATTCTATAATTTAAAAAGAAGACACTTAATGTAATAAGTTTATTAACAAAAATTTCATTAAAATACTCAAGTTCATATAAAAATAAAAACATCGTTTTTTTTAATTGAAAATTAATTATTTCGAATGTTTAACGCTTCTTGATAATTAACTATATTATAGTTATGAAGCTATAAAGAATTATGTTGTTTTAATGAGGCAGTTAATTGCATAATAACTTGAAATGACACAATAATTTAATAGTAATATGTTTTTTCCTTTAAGTTTGCACATAAACATTTATAATAATTAATCCAAAATGTACAGTTTCTACAATTTAGTTTGTAAGATTTCAACTTTATTGAATATTTGTTTTAAATTTACTCAATCTTATTTAAAAATACACATTTTCAAGTTTCTTTCTTTGTTTTCACTTCTAATATAATTAATTAATCACAAAATTACAGTTTTCTAGAATTTTATTTCTATGATTATAACTTTACTTAATATTCTTTAAAAATATATTATCAAGTGTAATGGTTTTCCCTTTCATATATATTTCATATGTTATCAATTTATTAACAAAAAGTTCATTAAAATACTCAAGTACATATAAAAATAAAAACATCGTTTTTTTTTAATTGAAAAGTAATTATTTCGAATTTTTAACACTTCTTGATAATTAACTGTATTATAGTCATGAAGCTATAAAGAATTATGTTGTTTTAATGAGGCAGTTAATTGCATAATAACTTGAAATGATTCAATAATTTAATAGTAATATGTTTTTTCCTTTAAGTTTGCACATAAACATTCATAATAATTAATCTAAAATGTACAGTTTCTACAATTTAGTTTGTAAGATTTCTACTTTATTGAATATTTGTTTTAAATTTACTCAATCTTCTTTAAAAATAGACATTTTCAAGTTTCTTTCTTTGTTTTCACTTCTAATATAATTAATTAATCACAAAATTACAGTTTTCTACAATTTTATTTCTATGATTATAACTTTACTTAATATTCTTTAAAAATATATTATCAAGTGTAATATTGGTTTTCTCTTTATCACTTTCATACAAACATATAATAATGAATCTAAAAAGTAGAGTTTTCAACTTTACTGAATGTTTGTTAAAAATAGATTATCAAGTATAATTTTGGTGTTGTCTTTAGTTATGTAATATTTTATATGAATATTTAAAAATACAGTTTTCTACAATTTCCTTTCTAAGATTTCAGCTTTACTAAATATTTGCTAAAAATATGTTAGTTTTCACTTTAGTTATTGCTTTCAAACGAACATTTAATTACTGAATGTTTTGTATAAAAATAGACTGTCAAATTTGATATTTGTATTCTCTTTCAGTTATAGATTTTGTTTTATAAAATAAAAAAAGACGTCAACATTTGACAGTTTTTTTTACTGTTAACCTAAATAATTCGACAATTGATTTTTTTAATAAATTTAACAAGAAAAACAAAATAAAAATACTATTATAACCAGACAATTTGGCTTATATAACACTTTTTTTTCACTTTTTTCTTATTTACAGATTTCTAGAATTATCTTTTCAATTGTTGTACTTTACTGAATGTTTTCAGTTATAGATTTTGTTTCTAAGACTTCACATTTACATTTAGTTGTTAAAAACAAAATAGTAAATACAAATGGACGTTTAAAATAAACAAGACGTCAACATTTGACAGTTTTTTTATTGTTTTCTTATTAACCTAAATAATTTGACAATTGATTTTTTTTTTTATAATTTTTTGTTTTAATTTGAAGTAAAACGTTGTTATGAAAGATCTTTAAGAAATATAGTAAATATGTAACATGAAAAAAAATCTATTATTATTATTAAATACTATTTTCACTGTTTTCTTGATTACCAAGTTATATATAAAATAAACTAAATAATTTAGAATTTATTTGTAAATTTTGTTTTAATTATAATTTAGATGAGTTTCTTTCAGAAGTATACTTAACTTCACAAAAACTAGACCTTATTACCAGTAATTTTTACATCAATAAATAATTTGTTAGTTGATTTTTTTTATAATTTTTGTATTAATTTACAATAAATTGTTTTTGATGAATTTCCTTAAGAAAACGTAATTTAAACTAAAAAAAACTAGACCTAATTACAAGCAATTTGAGTTACACATCCTGTGTACCCAAATATACCAATTGCCTATTTTGTTTCTTTATGTTTTTGTTTGAACAAAGTTAATGGAATATTAATATTCACGGTTCCATTAAATCCACAATTGGAATTTTTCCCCCGTCGTTTCTTCACTCGTAAATCACGTTACGTTGTGCGCCTTCCTTCCTGTTGAAGGAAGTGGCCGATTTCTTCGTGTCATTTATTGGCCGAAATTCGTGTAAATTCGAACGGTACATTAAATATGTACGCGGCCGTCCGCATTTATGGACATATTGACCAACAATGTCATACCACTGTTAAACGTATTTAAATACAAAGTGCGCTCGCTCGCTCAAATCGACTCGACTCGACCAAACGTGCTGCACATGCCAATTGGCCGACGAAGACGCAACTTTCCTCCTTCGGAAGAATCGAAACGCGCCGCGAGATTTCGAAGCCGATGATGTGGAAATACACGAAAACATTACATGAACGCGACGCAATTTTCCCCCTCTGTTTATATTTTCTTTATTTGCCGCCTAAATTTTTTCGAAACATTTGCATCGACTATATATTGACATGGTGACGCATTTCCGGTTTGCACATGCATATGCAAATGGTTTATAATTAAACAATATACTTTTGTTTACTGATCAAAGATGACTGAAGTCAACTGTAATTATTTGTTTATTCTATTCATTTTTTAATCAATATTAACTCTTAAATATATGTCAGAAAATACTTAATGTTAGATAATTAAACTTTTTGATAATGATATTTTTTCTCATAAACATTTTTTTTTCTTGTTGGAATTGATTATTAACCTAAATTCATGACATCTAAAAAATTTGACAACTTAAAACGTCATAACTTTCATAAATTTTGTTATAATTCAAAGTGAAATTTATTGCTAAAGATATTTGATAGATTTTTTAATAACGTTGTTTAAATTCAAAGTATTTTTCAAATTCAATGTTTCTCTTGAAAGTAGAACTAAAATAATAGAAAATAAAACCTTTTTTATTTTTAAATTCGCAGTGACATCTAGATTTTTATTCAAATTTGAAAGCATAACAATCTTGTGATTTCCTATTTATCTATACAAGTATGCTCCGACTTACGAACTCCCAGACTTACGAACAAAAATCTATAAGCTCTAACTTGTTACAAGGAGATATACAGTGATAAAAACATTAACTGTCTAAACAAAAATTGATAACTTCTTTAATAAAATATAATATTTTTGGAAGATGTTTTGTTGCATTTGTTTATTTTGTCGTTTTTTTTATTAAATAATTGTGATGTCTACATTGAAAAGTATTTTAATTTTTCAAATTTATGCAGTCTGTAATACGGAATTTAACATATATAAAAGTCAAAACCATGATAAAGTGTGCTAAGATAAGTATATTTTGAAATTTTTAAAATTCCCCCGACTTACGAACAAATTCAACTTACGAACAATCCTTTTGAACCAAACTAGTTCATAAGTCGGGGGATATTAAGATTGAATTTGGCAACTTGAAATTATCATAGCGTTTCATAAAAACAAAACGAAACAAAGAGAACATCGCATGCATGATAAAAATGATTATGTGCAACCAAATTTGAAAGTATAAAAAAAAACAAGGCAATTTGTATTTAAATTGCGTTGACATATCTGGTTGACAGAAGACATCTCCAAAACGATCACCATATTTACATGTATGTTATAAATTAGTAAGCAATTGTGACCAAAATTATAAATGTACCATTTTTAGAACTGTTTCAGATTCAAGGTTGAATCAATATTTCATTATAAATTTAATAGAATCATAATTAAAAGCGAAATTTCTATAAAAATACTAAATGGAAAATCTAAATTAATTAATATATTTAGTTCAACAATAATTTAAAAAAAAAATGTATTTACTTTTTTGTAATAATATCAATTAATAATATCAATTTATTTATTGACATAAATCTCTTTCTACACCTTTCGGGTTTAACAGCCACCACAATTTTTGTTGGTTTTTGGGAATCGAACCAATGACATTTCGTATCAGATTTTAGTGATACAGGCGACCATAGCCTCACGGATATGTTTACTTACTTGATTTATTTTTAAATATAATGTCAATGTCAGATGCAGTTTCTTTACATTTTGTAAGTATTTTGATGACGATCTCTTTTCAACAAACAAAAATCCCCTGGTTTTTGACTCAATGCTAATAAATTAAACAAAGTCTAACCAAAATTACTCGTTTTTAATTAAATATTGATTTTTTATGAAAGAATTTAATAATAATTTATGAAATTAAGACTTAAATTTATTCAAATGTAAAAAATTATGAACAGTTATTGTGTATTTGTATGTAATAAAATGTCATAAATTAATGAAATGGAAATGGAACTTACGATTTCGTCTAAGAGTTCATCGATCCTGGCATGAACACCTTTTCCTTTCTTCTCTCTGACCAACATGTAAATAGTGGATACGCCGGTGCTTCTCAGCAGCTTCTCGGTCAACACTTTGCCCAAGAATCCTGTACCTCCAGTCAGAAATATATTCTTCCCTTCGTAGAACTTTTGCAACGTCGAAAGACTTTCGTACACTTCATTATTCACCTGCTCCATCATCTGTAACAACAACACAAAAACAACATTAGTTACACAATACAATAAATCAATCTGCAAAGTTTCATTAAATAAATTTTCTAATTCTGCTTGCATACAAATATCATCATATCAATCAGTACATTTTCTATTTTCTAAGTATAAAGGAAATTGGTTTAAATGAAATATGAAATTATATTACCAAAAAAGAACAGTTAAGAACCGCCAGCTTAGTGAAAATTTAGTAAATTATATAATTATAATTGTAAAATAAAATCAATTTTTCAATTACATAATTATGAAGTACAATAAATTAAACTTTTTCAAGAAATTCCTATATTTGATTTATTTTCTAATTAGGTTTTAGATTGAATTTAATTTGTATTTAATATAGAATTGTTGTAAGAAAAATTAACATTTTAACTAGTAGAGTTGTTTCACAGAAAAGTGAATACAAACCATCTCATCGTCCGTCTTACGAATTCCCGACTTACGAACAGAATTCTAAAACTTGTTGCAAGGTAATTGTGATGTCTACATTGAAAAGTATTTGTAAGTAAGTATTATGTTTATTTTAATCTATTTATTGAAATTTATGCAGTCAGTAATACGTAATTTAACATATATAAAAGTAAAAACCATGATAAAGTGTGGTAAGATAAGTATATTTTTAAATTTATAAAATTGCCCCGACTTACCAACAAAATCAACTTACGAACAACCCTTTGGAATGGAACTAGTTCGTAACCCCCGACTTTAACTGTATTAATAAGTACAATTTCGTAAACATTTAAGTTTTTAGAATTAGCTTATTCATTATTCTTCTTATACTTTAGAAAAACATCATATATTAATTAATAGAGTTTCTTAAACTTGTATTCAAGTTATTTACATTGTTTTATAAAACTTCAAAGAATGCATGTATTCACATATATTTTTTTATATATATTATGAATGTTAATAACTGTCACTACCATTTATTTCATTAACGTTGGCAGAGGACAAGTAAATTCTTTTTTTGGTAGTGGTATTTATTATCAAGTAACCGAGGTACCCGTTGTCACCACTATCATGATATGTATGCAATAATTTGGTTTTGTTTATCATAAAATATTATCTTATAATTAATAATAAGTTATATAACATGTGGTTAAAAGAACGTTTAACTTGCAAAGTAGTTTATAAATGTTTTGATTAATTTCATATTCATTGTATACCGCAACCTCATAACAAAACTATGTATTAAAGATATTTAAGGAAAAAAAAATATAAAAGTAAATATTTTTTTATGTCTTAAAATATAGAATTTCTATATAATTTATTATCTATTTCACAAAATTTAACGTCAAGAGGATTATGTAAAATATATTGGCATGTATTTAGTAAAAAAATACTGATTTGGAAGAAACATGTATGAATAAAAGTAACTCTAACATCGAAATACTCTAGAGATTTTAATCAAAAATATTGCATACAATTGTATTACTTATATTAAATTGAAAATTCAATTCATTTCTTTATCATTTCAAATACGTCTTAAAGAAAACATTGTTATAAAAGTGTAATTAAAAAAGAGGTTTCGTTTTGACAGAACATCAAGAAGTTGTGTGTTTAATGCGAAATCATAGTAATAATTGTAATTGTTTACTTGCAGTAACTGAAAAAGAAAACAGTGTTATGATGGTTGTAAACGTTCATAAATTATATTGTATGACCGAAATACAGCGACTATTTATAACACACCAAACAAAAACTGTCGTAATAATCGAGAAGGCGCGCAGTGTGCACTTTCAGCAAAATTGACCAACCGTTTTCCAAGCCGGACTTTTAACGCTCGTCAAACACACATACATCATATACACATACACTCTTTATACGTTTATGTAACAATTAGCATTGCGAAAGTCCTTCGCGTGAATCAATGAGCGTTCTTTTTTCGTAAAACTGCCAATGCGATTTGAATACGGAATCGATCGTGCGGTTTGCGGACGAGCGGCGGGGGGGGGGAGGATTCTAATGCACGCGCTCGTCCGAAAATGGTTTAACCGTCGGATAACAATTTCCAAACTGACATTTGTTTAAATTTAAAACTCAGTTTAGATACTCATAAAAATATCTACTGTATTTATTCTAAATGTGTTTATAAATATATTACGTTTTACATGATCGTCGACTGAAATGCAAGTATTTTATTATACGATGTAAGTGAATATTGTTTAATAAAATTTGTATTTAATTCGTAATTAAACATTTAACACGTTAATGACGGCGCAAATCGGTTTGCCTGATGCTAGAAAAAAATTCGTGGACGCCTATGGACTGAAAGAAAAGTCAAATATCTTACGTCAATTACAAACTTAAACTTTTCTTATACCTTTTTGAATAATTTTTAAACAGTTTATATGAGAAATGTGTTTCGCAATATATTATTCATAAATTATGTCAGAATATAAGAAAATTATTGGCGTTTAAGCTTTGTAATTGACGTAAGATATTTAAGGTTATACTGAGTCAAAATCAGTGGTTTCAAAACTATTATTGGGTGGGTGGGTCATGCCTTAATTAATGGAATATTATTGACAGATGTTTCCCCACAGGTTTTTCTCAGATTTTCTATTGAATTTGTTATTCATTGTTTCCAGCTGTACGCAATTAATTGAGTGTTAATTAATTAATTAGTAAATTTATTATTTTATGAAATTTGATCAAGTACTTGCATACAAAAAGATGAATTTATTTATTTTATTAGTATAAAATCAATAAATATTTTTTTAAATTTATTATTTTTGTTACAATCATGTAACCTATATAAGTATTTCTATTTTTATGATCAAAATTATTTACTAAATTTTCAAGTTTGACCCATTTCACCACACAATCAAACATGTCCTACCTTTATGAATACGTGCTAGCAACAATAACATTTTTATTGTTGTTTGTTTTTCAATTATTATTTTTGATTGACCTTAGTCAATTTTTTTTTGACAGATGACAGCAACGACAGCTTTTTCAATGACCTATAATGAATAGTAGCATCGAAAACATTGCTATTATTGTTGTTTTTTTTTTTAAATTATTATTATTGATTGACCTCAGTAAATTGTGTATGCAATAAATTATTATACGTATTTTAATTATGGTATTTTATATTCAAAAAAATAAATGTCTTAATTTGTTATTTGTTATTCACTTAATTAATTGAATGTTTTCTAAGTACACGTTTTTATTAATTATAATTCTCACACCAATAATGTTCTTGTTTTTTATTGACAGATGACAGCAACGTCAGTTTTTTCAGTGACAAACCTATCCTATGAATACGTGCTATCATCAAAAACATTGCAATTTATTGTTTCTTTGAAAAATACTTTAATTTAATTATGTTATTAGTAATTTAATTATGATATTTTATGTCTCAATTTGTTTTTATTCACATAATTAATCGAATGTTTTTTTTACTCACGTTGTAATTTCTCTCAATAATAATGCCGAAAATTTAAATACATATTACTGAATTATTGTTCTGGTTTATTTTTCTGACACATAACAGAAATTTCATTTCTTTTCGAGACAAACAACAATCATTTATTATTGATACAAAAAATAAAAAAGATTTAATATTTAATCGCAATAAATTTTAATTTTGATTATTTTCAATAGTTATAATTTATAATAATATTTTTGTTTATTTTTGACAGATGACAGCGACGTGATTTTTTTTGGAGACAAATAACGATTATGAATTATTCAAACACAGACAAAGTCAATATAAAGTTAGCGTCTTTACAGAAATGAGTATTTTGTGAATTTTTGTATTACATTTTAATAAGGACAATTTATTATTTTTTTGTATGTTTATTACACATATTTAATTTCGATTATATTTTAGTGACTTTTCTCCCTTTGGCCAGCCTATTAATATATTTTTTTTTTATTATATGTTAAAATTTATTTATGTATAAATTGTATTTTTTTTTTGCTTCTTCTTATGTATTAATGTTTGGCCAATAAATTATTATTATTATTAAGGATTATTTAATTTTTTGAAATATTTATGGCACTTATTCAATTTCGATTATATATGTATTATTTTTGACAGATGACAGAGACGTCACTTTCTTTTTGGGAAACAAATTATTAATCAATGTAAAGTTAGTGACTTTTTCGTATTTCGTATTTTTTGCATTACATTTTAATAACAATTATTTTATTTTTTTGCAATATTTATGGCACATATTTAATTTCGATTGTAGATGTATTATTTTTGATAGATGACAGAAACGTCACTTTTTTTTAAGTCAAATAACGATTATTAATTATTGAAACACAGACAAAGTTAATTTGAGGTTAGCGACTTTTTAGAAATGTGTATTTTTTGGGTCTATATCGCAAGCCCGACAACCGAAATCCCGACTATATTAAAATCCCGACAACCATAATCCACACTGCATTGAAAATTTCTACAATAACATTTTTAAATTATTCCGGAGCGTAGTCACATTGTGCTACACTTTTATTATTAATAACAATAAATTATTATTAATTTATTTGATTTTGTTGAATTATTCATAATAAACCTTAACATTATGAAATAATCTCAAATACAATTAGATTAATAATTGTTATTATTTATTATTAATAACAATTTAAAAGTCACTACGCTAATCCCGACTTTATGGTTGTTGGGATTTTAATATAGTCGGGATTTTGATACAGTCGGGATTATGGTTGTCGGAATTTCGATACAGTCGGGATTATGGTTGTCGGGATTTCGAACGTCGGGAATTTGATTGACGGTGTTTCGGTTGTCGGGCTTGCGATTGCCACCGGTATTTTTTGTATGTGTTTAAATCTTAAAATAATTATAATGCATATATAATTTTTTAAGACAGATGACAGTAAAGTCAATTATTTTTCAAACAAATAAAAATTATTAATTATTTATAAACCAATAAAAAAAACAATTGAATCTGAGTAAATTTACATAAATGTGTAAAATACATCAAATTTATTGCCAATATAAATTTGCAATAAACTTTAATTACTATCAATTAAATATATGAATATGGATTTTTTGCCACTGATTTGTTTGATAAATGACAGCAACGTCATTTACATTGGTGACAAGTAAAAAAAAAAACGTATTTACTATGAGCAAATTTATATAACATTTATATGAACAAATTCATATACAACAAATCGTATTTATTATTAAAATTTCAAGTATTAATAAGTAATTACATAGAGTCAAAACTTTGTGACGTTTTACCGGAAAAAATAATTGCGTGTACAACTGTTAACCTCTTTTGTGAAAAGGTGTGGTGATAAAATAAAGATTTTTTTTTTAGTTTAATGAATTTATATAAAAAAAGAGTTCTTAATTGATTAAATGGAACTTAAAATCCATCATCTTACAAAAATTAAAGAATTTGTAAATTCTTTGTTTAAATCATAGTATAATAATCCAAATATTCCGAAACTGAAGCTATTAAATTGATGAATAAATTTGGAAAAAAAAATATTCAAGTGATTACCTTGTTGAAATTGATTGCTTCGGTTGCACGAAAACAAGTGTTGCAAAATCCAAGAGCACAAGACGTAAACAAACGGTTCTGGTAAACACACCTTATTAGAGGCGCAAACGAATTAACGAATTACACGCGCAACAATATTCATATTACTCGCAGCTTACTGATTATACAATGACGATACACGCCCACGCATAAAAATATCTTTTTTTTGCGATATAAGTATAATTTGTTAAAGTTATACAATTTCAATATAATAATTACAATTTTGTTGTTGTTTTCAATTAAAAAAGCTATCTGCTAAAGTCTGTACTTATAATCTACGAAAGTATAGACCGTTTTGTGTAGATCATCAAACTATGGACCGCGGGCCACAAACGGCCCATAATGAAATTCCTAAATATGCTAAAAAAATTGAATAAATGAGATACATAAGTAAATCACATAATGAAATTATACATAAGATTAATGAGATTTATGAATGTGTAACTTTCCACTGTAGTTGTTTGTAGTTATTGATCAAATTTAAAATTATCATATTCGGATCTGTAAATATTTTTTTGTATATTTCATTTTGGAGAATGTTTTGGCCCTTTTATATTATCATTCTTTGAAATTCTTACTAATGAAACAACTAGATTTATTTAGATTCAAATCCAATTTTTATAATGTGCTACGTATATAAGAAACATGAAAAAAAAACTGTCAAAAATCTAGAGTTCGAAATTTCCGAAAATATTTGATATGACATTCCATACAACAGCCTACTTTTCAAGTCCGAACGGAACTGTTAAATGATTATACCGTTAATAAAATCGATTATTATGAATGTTCAAAAGTGAACTAGAAGCCCAAGCAAGTAAACAATGGAATTTTAAGAAACTCGTGTCTTCGTATATCCAGATTTCATGAAAAACAACACAAAACTTAACCGAAACTTAGAAAAAAATATAGACTGATGCAAGAAAAGAACTTTTTAATTAATATGAAAATAATTTCTAAAAAAAACTACTTAAAATGTTTTGTTATAAATTATTTTATAAAACGTTGAAATTTTTAAGAATATTTTAAATTAATTTTGCATGTTTTTATAAGTAAATAATATTGTATTCTAATTACTTCAATGTAATTAAATTGGAAATATCAATTGTTAATGCGAATCTATTTTTTTTGTATTTTAATTACTTTATCGCGTTTTAAGTGATGTAAATTGACAATACAATTTATTTGAATTTTTTTTATTATGTCATAGTATATTTAATTTACAATCTTGTTCATGCATATATTAATTAAATATAATGACATTTGTTTTTTTGGTAAACTTCCCAATGGAAGTTTTTACCATTATATTCTGTTATTTGGTTGGCGATTCCACTATTTCCTTTGACTGTGAATCTGCTGCTATCCTTAACACTATCATTGTCCATCGACGTGGCTGAAGGTCCATATGTAAGCGCCGAGAGGGCTCACAAAGGGCTTGGCTTGACCAGGATTTGAACCGGCACCCACGGAATCGTGGTTAGGGCGACTTAACCATTCGCCCTTATTTATTTGACATGAAAGGAAAATGTGACTAGTACAGAATTGAAAGATATTTCTTCAAAGTATTTGATACATTTCTAAAAAAATAACTCTATTTAACCAATTGCAAATGCAATTAAAAACTCAAACTTCATGACAGCAACCAGAAAATGTATTTTTTCTCTAATTTATCAAATTACAAATAAATATCCAAACGTCAAATTTATTCCAACCAGAAAATGCATATTTTATATAAATTTCACCCTACTTTATAAATTACAAATAAATACATTTGAAAATTCATATTTATTTCACCCCATTCATATAAATTTCACCCTATTTTACAAATTACAAGTAAATACACAAACATCAAAACTGTTGACACACTCACGATCAGAAATATATATTTTTTTTCTAAATTTGACCAATTAAAACAACTTCTTTTTTTTAACCGTGGCGACCAAAAAATATTGATTTCTTCTGGAAATATCACTCTATTTTACAAATTACATGTAAATAAATACAATTGAAACGTCAAACTGACGACAATAATTTAACCCTATTTTTACAATACAATTGAAACGTCAATTTTTTGTTGACACATTGCCGACGGAAATATGTATGTCAGAGGCAATGAGCACACGAATGTCAACACACATCGATTGTTATTATGCGATCGTTTCGTTGCGCAATAGATTTTTGTGCGGAATCGCAATACGCTGTGTCTACATGTGCTCCGCTTTTTTTTTTTATTTCGCTCAAATTAATATTCCTTCGGAGCAAATTAGTTGCATATGCTGATATCCGTTGCGCAATAAACACAGCGATGATACGATTCCAAAAAGGAAATCTGCATTTGAACACTTACTGCAATGCAATATTCATAAATCGAATGCAAATCAATTTAATTATAACTAAAGAATAAAATTGTATTTGCTAGCAGTTAGTAAATAATACGTTGTGACAATACCTTTATACCTACAACAATTTAGGTTAGCAGGTCACATTTTTATTAATGTATTGCATTACTATTCAGTAAGCTTTTAAATTTAATGAAATTATAATTTCAAGTATGAAACTGCATATTTTTTAAATCTTATTAAAAATATTCAACAACCTTTTCAATTAGTAAACTTATTCTAATTGTAAATATACATATTTATTATATAGGTTACATATTATATAACAGCGTTTCTCAACCTTCTTCTTCTTCTTTTAAACCTCCACTCACTTCACTCAACTTTACTCAACCTACGCATCCCGTTCTGGTTAGTAAAATGACAGCTGTCACTTGGTATCAAAACAAGAAACTGCACTTAGATCATGCGACAAAATTGCATAATTATACGTACCTATGGTATAATTTAAAATCAATCATTGAAAAATTATAATTATGTTAAAATTACATGTATAAACTGGTTATGATGAATAACAAATAAATTGCATCAGTTTTTAAAAACAAAAACAATCGTTTTTTTTTTGTACAGAAAAATCAAAGATGTATGCGAAATTGTTTATTGTTTTAAGACTACTTAACTTTTTCTTTTTTTTTTCGTTAGAGTCAATATGTTTTTACATTAGTTTCGGGTATGCATTTTATTTACACCTATGTTATATAAATATCTTTTATTTTGCGGATACACGAATTTTCGAAGGTCCTTTTCTATATAACAAAATAGTTATTAAAATTGTTATTTATTGTATTTAACAATGCTTTAATTACTGATATAAATCTATATTTTCTTAACTAAATTTAATTTAATTGCATTTTTATAACATCAAAATTTTAAAAAAATAACTTTTTTTTTATTATTTATATTACAATTTGTATTATCCCATTTAGAACCAAAGTTTTTTTTTCTAATTTACCTATACAGTGGAACCTCGCTTAATGAGCACCTCGCATAACGAGCATTTCGCTTAACAAGGAAAATGAATTGTAAGAAAAATGACTCGTTTAACGAGCGACGTTTCGCATAACGAGTGACGTTGAGAAGAGAAGTATTATATTATTATGTATTATATTATGTGTATTTCACTATACGAGTAAAAATCCGGAAATTTTGGAACAGATTAAACTCGTTAAGCGAGGTTCCACTGTATTTTTAAATTGTTTTATTTATGATTATAACATCAATTATAGAAATCTGTATTTAGTAAAGACATTAAGTAGAATAAATCCGACCAATTTGAAATTCAACAATTCTTTCGGCAAAACTGAGAATTGTAAGAAAAATGACTCGCTTAACGAGCGACGTTTCGCATAACGAGGGACGTTGAGAAGAGAAGTATTATATTATTATGTATTATATTATGTGTATTTCACTATACAAGTAAAAATCCGGAAATTTTGGAACAGATTAAACTCGTTAAGCGAGGTTCCACTGTATTTTTAAATTGTTTTATTTATGATTATTACATCAATTATAGAAATCTGTTTTTAGTAAAGACATAAAGTAAATTAAGGTTTTTTTTTAATTGTAAATTGTTGATATTATTTAAATGTATGTAAATGTTAGAAAAACTTACCGAATATTAAGAAAATCCCAAATAAAACAGAATGCGAAAGGAATGTTTTTGAGTGGAAGAAGATGTTGAATTTGAATATTCTTCGTTGTCTCACATAAACGTAAGAATCTGCATCACACGTAAACGACAATTTGACACAACTAGTAACAGCGATATGAGCACGAATCGAAATTGCTCCGCAGTGGTAAACTTTTATACAATCGAATCACCTGTGTGGGTGGAAGAAAAAAGGCAGCAGTGGCATTAGAAGAAGAGGTGCTTGGAAGGGAAGACGTGGTGGAGCGGTGGGTCGCGGTTGTTGGTGGGGCCGGAAAGCTTCATTGGGAACGCCGGTCGCGTACCGAAGACGCGTCAAAATGATTCGTCTACGCAATCACGCATTCTTGAGCGTGTCGCCTGGAAGCCGATTCCGAGGCGAAAAGAAAAATTTTCAGATTTAACCATTGTGTTTTTTTATTTCTTTATTTTTTTTTTGTTGCTGTTGGAAATCAGGGCCATTTCCATCGTATTCTCATCCCAATTTTCCTCCTCGTAATTTGCAAACATCATTAGCAATCGCATTACAATTGCTTGAATAAATATCAGATGAATTACTTAACATATAAAAATTAATATACTCGTCCGATTTTGTTACATCCTCAATTGTTTTTTTTTTGCCAAAACTTCTTGACCAAACCAATAAATTCAATTCATTGAATTTTAAGACTGCAAATATCATTAATGAATGAATAACATTGAAACACTTAACAGTATATCCAAAAAGCAACGATAGAAATAGAAATGTTAACATTAAAAATTGAAAAAATAAACAAACGCATTAACCTTTAAAATCCATCATTTCTTGTGTATTTAACCGTTTGACATTGCAATTTACACACTGAAAAATGCATATTTCTAATCTGTTTCACAAAATTTTTTTTCTTCTTCATTAAAGCGTCAGTCGAGTGTTTATATAACAGAAGTACCTCGCATAGTGCGGTTTCTATCAGTCCGGATCAGTGGCGGAACTTCAATCGCTCGGATTTTTTTTTTTCAGAGAGCGAAATTGTCCTTGATTAATTGAGAAAAACAAAAATTATACAAAAATGATCGTTTTTTTTTCTTTATACTGTCAAATCTGTTTTTGTGCGGTTTATTTTTGTATGCATTTAGTTACTCGATTAGTCCAGTTTCAAACAGTCCAAAATATTCAACAAAATCTATTACTATACGAGGAATTGCTATTTCTTTACATTGTTTATTGAGAATTTTTATTTTAATTTATCTAATTACAAATACGCAATTAAACAACTTCCTTTCATATAATTGCAACATTATATCATGATAGCTTTGACGTCCGAATAAAAAAACAAATGGAAACGAAAATCAATACGTCGATGGCAAATATTTGTCTGGACCTTCACTATTTAAGCAACGTAAATAAATAATTGTAATATTTATTCAATGCAACGAGCATGTAACACATATCCTCCTCAAAGGATATGATTCATTTGTTTTCTTCAGTATCATTCCTAGAAAGAAAAATTGAAGAACAACATTTGCACGTTATGTTGGACAAATAACAAGAGACATGGTCTGAAAGTTTTTGAAAAATATTTTTTTGTTATAAATTATGCAACAATATTTGCAATGTATTCTTTATTTAAGTATTTAATGAATTGAAAAGCAGACTTAGAAAAAAAATTGCACAAATATTAATGGACAAATTGAACAAATTAAAAATGTTTTATTTTTTTATAATTGTGCAATAACATTTGCGATGCAAGAATTTTTTTTAATAGAAAGCAGGCCTAGGATGAAAAATGAAGAACAAATATTGAACATGTTAACATAAGAGAAATAAAAAAATAAATAAGAATTATGCAACAATATTTACATTGCAATAATATTTGTATTGACAAATTTAACAAAATCAAATCCTTAAATCGTATTTTGCAAACTGTTTCTCCAATGTAAAAGGGCCTTGTTTCATAAATAAATAGTAGAAATCAGATTGAATCAAAGTTTATACGCAATTGTCATTTCTAATAATTAAGTGGATTTTATTAAATACTTGTTAAGGTGCAAGACAAATTGAAATCAAGAGCATTGATTATTTAGTACATGGATTGTCTAAAGACATTAAATGTTAATTATCATGCAATTAACACCATTTTATAGACGCTTAAGACAATTAACACCAATTTTATAGATAGCTAGTTGTAATTTAGAGTTTTAATGTGACTTTTTTGTGGATATAACACAGTCACTGTTAAACAAACTATTGAGTTTAAATATTTGAAAATTGTACCAATCTCTTTTTTTAGTTCTTGCGCGTTGGTAATATCGAAGCGCGCTTTTCGGTTCTTGGTTATGCGTGTTGTCACCAGTTGTCACTGGTTGTCACCAATAACAGCTGGTAACCAAAATAAAAGAAAAAAAATAGTTTAAACATTAAAACATTTAAAGCACGGACGAAAAGTAGGACGTTCCATGACTTACGACGATGGCAAAAGTATTGTTAAATAACGTGATAAACGGTGAAACAGACCTGCAGCTGTTGTTCAGCTGGCTTAAGAATAATTTACTTGAGGTAAGTAAAAATAGTTTATTTTCTCTCCAGTGATTTTACATAACCTATATATACATTCATTTGTAGAAAGATGAGACTTCCAATTGCCCCGACTTTGATTGCTCAATTGGGGAATTCATATCTTTTTTCCTCAATACGATACATGAAAATGCTCAAAAGTGAGTAGAGATATATTTGTTAATTAATGACTATAAATAGTAATTTTCTTTGTATTTTAGTATTAATAATGCAGTAGAAACTCCAAAAAAGATTTACACACCTAAAGCCATAAGGAAATTAGAGACACCGGAAAGTCAAAAGCCAAAGAGAAGGTCTGCTCTCTTCAGTGAGCAGCATGATGATAGAAATGATTTATCTCCGAAGTGTAGCACACCAAGAAACAGAAACAAGAGTCTCTTGAATGACAGTACATTTACTAACGAGAATACCTGTATGAGTCCAGTGTCTCCCATTTATATGCGGCTTAACTGCAATATTACTCCAAAGAGTCAAAAGAAAATAACGTTAACAGATAGAAGTCTGTGCTTGGGTGATTTCATAACGAAACGCGGTAGCAGTTCTAAGAAGAAGGGTTCGAAAAATGAGAATACGGAGCCGCAGGAGGGAAGGCGGCATCGCAGAATAAACCCGACCAATTTGAAATTCAACAATTCTTTCGGCAAAACCGAGAACAGCTTCAATTTCTCCGAAGAGTCGTTTCCAGAGATTGCGGCGGAAAACGCTGAAGACCAGAGGAGTGTGCTGGCTGTGGAAAGAATGAAGATCGTCATTGATGAACCGAAGGTGATCCTGACGAAGAAAATAGCTAAAAAGGAGGTTTTGCCTGATTTAAATCTCGCCACCTGCCGAAAGCAATTGGACGTGCTAGTCGAGATGTACGTTTATTGCCTGAACAACAATCTAGTTTTAAACTTGACAAGCGAATTGTATTTCGTGCTCTCCCTAATTTTAAACAAACAATTTGAGTCTGAAATACCGCAGTTGCGTGACGGCGATTGCGATTACGTTTCTTACAATGATTTGTTTAGTTGCATACATAATACAATTTACTTTGCAATTAAAGTATTGGAGCGACAGGTGAATATCCTGGGTATGCTGGACAAGCAGACTGTTAAACTGCTTATAAATAATGATAGGCTTAAATGTATTTCACCGGAAATGAACAAGGCTTTAGTGGATATCAACGAGGGCAAGATTGAAATTAGTTTACCATTGGCGGAGGCTACTCAGAATGTGTGTTTTATAACTGAGACGGATAACAGGCAGAATTTTCCATCCGAAGTCTCTTTTCACGCGTTCAGGAAGCAGCGGGACTTGTTTTACGAGTTGTTGAGGATCTGGGAAACGCATCATCTGTCTGAAGGTTGGAACTTCGGGATGGCTCTTGGTGGAAAAATTAAGAGTCTATTCAGTTTACACTCGGATGAGGCAAATTTCAGGCATTTCTCTAGACTCTTCAAGTCGCAGTTAATCGGAGCTTGTAGCAAAATCAACGTTAGTATTTACAAAACTACTATTATTTATTAGGAATTTAAGCATATTTCCATTGCAGATAGAAAATATACCCGAAGATCAATTATCTTTTTTGTCGACTATTCCGAACATCGATAGCGAAAAGTTGAATAGATTGACGAACCGTTTAGTGAAGAAAGCTTCACCAATTAACGGTATTAATTCACCTCCAGCGTTTCTCGATTGCGAAGAGTTTTACAGGGATTTCATATTGACCGCTTCCTTGCACAATTTTAATATTCATCTTAAGGACACCATGACGAATGAAGTAATTACATTATCCAACAGCAACTTTCCTTGCAACGGATTACAAGAAACAGGTATTATTCATATTTATATATATTACTGGTTATGTTTGATATCTAAATATTACGATTTTTAGAATCTCAGGTTGATTTGGAAATTAAAACCTCTTACGTATCTTGCTTGCGCTCTCTACGAACATTGGCGAAATTTCTTGGTTTCCTCGAAACCTTGCCTTATTCTACAGCAAGCGGTGCGAAGGAGGATAAAGTTATCAGCACGGATATCGAAATGAGGAATTGGTACCGGCCGCATTTCCATTTGGAACAGATCCTTGCGGATTCCGTAAGCAGCGGAAATCTGATTTTGACTATTCCTTGGATTACGAAGTACATATCTATGCTGCCCGCTGCCACTTTGCGTCTCAACTATTTCGTTAAACTTTTCGATACGCTATTTGAGATCTTCTATAACGCGGATCCAAGCAACCCTAGCGGTCTTCTCGTCCGTCTTTGCCTCGGATGGTTGTTCGAACTGAATCACTTTCCCAGCGAGTTCTACTACGTTTGGTGTACGCGAAACGAGAAAAACCTTTTACAGAAAGTTCAAGCTGGATTGGATTCAACCGATGTAGTTTGCAATGATGCCCTGTACATTTGCTGTCCGTATTTGTGCGAATTTAAACGATTATTGCAGAACACAAGCACTGGCAAATCAACAATAACTGTGAAACATATAACGCCAGTGACGGCCATGGAATCGCCGGCGCAAGTTAGCCAGAAGAAGATTAAATTACAATTGGAAGAGGCATTCTTGAACACGCAGCCGGTGTCGATGAGGAAAACAGTGGAGTTTGTTAGCGAGCGCGTCGCCTCTGCTTGCGTTAAGACTGTCTGCAATGTAATAATTCCCAAGTACAAGGAGATCGCGATGGAAGAGTTAAAGGAGTTGCTAATCAATACGAGACCTGAGAATGGACAATTTGAGTCGAAAGAGTTTTTGGCCGAGACAAAAGTCAAATGCGACGTATTGCTACAGAGCAAGTTGAAGGATCTGTTGTTCACTTGCAACGAAGAAATCAATAAGCAAATCGAGGCTAAAGTAAAGAATAGCGTGTGTCTGTTGTTGGCCGACGAGGAATTGAAGCAAACCAAAAGCGTGAGTTCTTCAATCGCCATTAGGATGTGCCGTAATCGAGTGCAGCAGTGGGTAATAGCTCATTTGAATGCTGGTAATTTTCAAGCAATTACTTTACTTATTTATTAAGATTCTTAATTTTTATTATTTTTTTCAGGTGTTTTCAGCAAAGATTTCGACGCGTATTTGACTAAATTCGTGAAAAGAGAAGGAGCGCTGGAAGAGTGCCATCGAAATAAGTGCAGCGAATTGTTATCAGCTGGGAATAATTTGGTGCATAACGAGGAGGTTCCGAGTGCCGTTAAAATTGTCGAAATACTAAGAGTAAGTTTTTTTATAATTTCTTTAATATCTTTAATTAACTAATTATTTGCAGAATTTGTGCATCGATGTCTTGGAAGGTTCACCTGTTAATACAGAAGATGTCACTCTCATGATTGATCAATGCAACCAATGTTTGGATCAGCGTGAAGACGTGAATATTTCCATAGTTTCTATGATAAATAAGATGCTGCTAGATTTCTTCATTATTTTAAGTAAGTATTCGATATATTCCATTTAAATCTAATAATTAATAATATTATGTATTATTATTTAGTTGCAAAATTACCGGATCTCTGTACGAACACCGTTATGCAATTGTACATCGACTTTTGGAAATCTAAAAACAGCAATGAAGATCTCTTCAAGAACTTAATCTGCCCAAGGAATGTGTCTATGTTAGGAGGAAGGACCAAGAGTTGGGAAAAACTAGTCTCCTTTATCGTTACTTTACTGAAGACCAAACTACTTTGTAGCAGTGATTTCGAGACGCAGTACTTGGCAATCTACAAGCAGAACTGGAACGATGTAAGGATACATTCAATACATTAATTTCTTTTAGTTATCTAAGTCTTTCTTTCAGGTTTCGCTGAAATGTTTGTCAAGCTCCGTGCGAGACATCGCTGCCGAATGCTCAAAATTGCCCGAATGCAATGCCAAATTCACGTACCTCCTGAACTTCGTCTCAGATTTCTGCTCTGATCTGGAATCTTTTTAAACGTTTTATTATTATTTTTTTTTAAGACTGAGTCGTTTTATGTAAAATACCCATTTTTAAGTTTTATTATCTCATTTTTAATTAATTTTTTTTTTCATTGTGATATAGAACAACATATTTTTATTATATGTTTAAAGAATTATATATAATATTGAAAATATTTGCATTTATTCGTTTTTTCTTTCTTTCGTTATACATTATGAAAGACACCCTTGCGGTTCGTCCGATCCATCTTCGCAGTCTTGGCTTCCGTCGCAGATTTTCGTTTTCAATATGCACTGGTCGCTGCGAAGACAGGGAACCTCATCTTCCGAGCATTCTGCTAGAACAATGAGTAAGTTAAAGTAAGCAAAGTGAGAGAAACTAATTTGAGAGCTTTTACCGTTCGGACAGTGGAATTCGTCGAAACCGTCCCAGCAATCCACTTTTCGGTCGCACTTATTCCCCTTGGGTATGCACGAAGTGTTATTGCCGCAGTGAAAGTGCGTTTGTAAATTGCAATCTAGAAATCGTCGTAAGTCGAAATATGAATAATGTGAGTCGAAAAGTTTCTGTAGTTACCGCAATTCAATTCGTCGCTGTTGTCTTTGCAATGAAAGAAACCGTCGCACCGTTTGGTTTCGGACACGCAAAGGTCTCCGCAACTGAAGTGTCCATCTCTGCAGATCAATGTATTCGTGTTGTTGGTGCACTCGTAGACGAGGTAGTGTCTATCCAGAATCTTGCAGAATTGCGTATTGACCATGCACAGTCCACCGCATCCACTGGGATCGTTGAAATCGGCGATCTTCAGACAGAGCGGTGGTTGAGCTTCGTGCACTTTCATGCAGATCTCGTTCTCCTCGCAATTACAAATCGCCTGAAATTTTAAGAAAATTAATTATAATTAAGTGCAAAATGTATAAATTACGAACTCTTTTCTCTATTATGTTTTCTTTCTTGGTCGTTTGTGGCTCACGTTTCAAAGTCTTTAAAATATCTTCTACGCTCATCTCTTCTTCGGCCACTGGTATTTTCAAGATCTTCGTTATTTTCGGTCTTTCCCTTTGCAGGAATTCTGTGGATGCAAATAGTTGTTGAAGGGATTTTTTGTTGTGCAGTTTCTCTTTCTTTTCGTACCTGTGATTGTGATGTAAACACCGAATACGATGGCAAGAAGGACGCAGATGAAGACGAACACGTACAGGCAGTACCTCTTCCATTTCGAATCTTTGGTTGCGTCTACTTCGTTGATTTGGAGTACCCACCGGTGTCCGAAGATGCTGCGTTTGATGATGGAGTTGGTTTGATTGTCGAAGACCTCGCGGGAGATGGTGGCGAGTTCCAAGTTCCTGCAACGACGGAAGCTCTCGTAGTAGTGGACCTTGGTCAGCTCTACGTTGGATGTGTTCGGTATCATCGCGGTGTCTCTCTGCTCTTAGGGTAGGTTAAGCGGCACGCGACGCCGGCCGGTCGGGCACTTGGATACAAACACAGACGGTTCCAGGAGGGTGCGAAGAAGGCGCCGGCGACGACAGCTGACACCTGTCGCCCTCTCTGTCCCCTCGGCATTTCGCCAACCCTCTCGTTCCACCTACCAGAGCACGAAATGTTAACAATACTGACCTTCTGCCGAGCAGGTGCTATTTAGCATTTGAATAAGTCAACTGGAACCTGCCTGAGCTTCTTCATTTTTTTGCAGCAGACACAAATTACTGCATTTTTAAATTTGTAACTAATTTCTCGAGAATTCGCACATATTCTTTCACTTACAACTACTTGTACAAGTAATTATACGTGTAAGTAGACGAGTAAAAGTTAATAACCGGATTTTAATAATTGAGAGTGTACATGTTACATCAATAACTTGAATTAAATTGATCAAACAACCAAATTTAAAATTACATATACGCATTTTGTATTTACTTAAAAATAAGCAGTGGTAATAACAACATTTTTGATTACACCATTATATTTTATAGACATTTCTATGTAATCGTATAAAATTTCATCGAAATTCATCAAAATATCATCGAAAAAAGGAAATATTAAGAAACAAAATACCCAAAATTCATTGCTTAAAAATATCATAACTTTGGAGGAAACCAAATAGAAACAATCGAAACAATTGAAAATAATTACTACGCTATTTCATTATTTGGATTAGTATAAGTAATAATGCAGAACTTGAGCCAAGATATATTGTTCTTTTACAAACGCCTTTATTATTGCCCAAAGCGTTTATATTTCATCGTTTCAAATGCAGTTTTATAATTATAGGAACAACTCAATGGATATCGAAAGATTCATATTAAGAGCACTTTCTTCGTAACTTCGCATAAAGAAAAACAGTTGAAAATAACCACAACAAACGATATCAGGTGTTGAATTTCGGTAATTTTCAAAATTATCTTTTAAACCAAGAGTAATATCAAAATTCTGCTTAAACTATTCAATTACTTGATTTATTCTTAATAACCGTACAAAATTTGATGAAGTATTTGATGAAGAATTCTAAACGGTTAAAGATTTTCATTCGTATGATCTAAACTTTATATCATACGAATTGTTTTATGAAGAAGAAACAACGCTTTATTTTTCCTCATAACGTTCTTTTTTTTCATCATTTCACAAGCATATAGTTCAGAAGGACTAAAACAATAAAAAAAAAGAAAAAAATCATAATAAGTACACTTATGCCCACAATAATTTCACGTAAAGAATCATCATTTTTAATCACTCTCAAAAAAGTTATTAGTGGTTGAAATTCGGTAATTTTTCAAAATTATCTTCTGAATCAAGAGTGTTATCAAAATTTTGATTAATATATTTAATTACTAGATTTATTCATAGAAAATGTATAAAATTTGATCGAAATCAGAAGTTTAGAACAGTGGTTCCCAAACTTATTTAGCCTACTGCCCCCTTTCCAGAAAAAATATTACTTAGCGCTCACCAGATTTTTTAAATTTCAATAGCAATTAAACAGAAAGATATACAGTGGAACCTCGCTTAACGAGCATTTCGTACAATTGATGAGAAGAGAAGTCCCGGATTGTGCGCTTGCTACATCATTTTTAAAACTTGTGTACACATATTACGTGTATTTTTGGATATGTTTGGAGTAGAAATCCGGAAATTTTGGAAAGGATTAAACTCGTTAAGCGAGGTTCCACTGTATGTATCAATGTTTCTACCGTCCCCCTGGATCAATGCAGCAGCACTCACTTTGGGAATCACTTGTGTAGAAGATACAAATTATTATTTCATAGTTTCAAATAAAAACTTCTAACTTTGAAACGACTCGATGGATTTCAATAAAAAATAAACATTAATATTAAGCAAGCTTTCAACTTTTAATATTTGGTGCTAAAAATATAAATTTTCCGTAAAGTATTCAAACATAATTAAATTTCAAAAACTTAAACAAAATCTTTGACTTGTTCGAAAATATGTCAAGATCGTAGCTAAGTTAATGAAAGTATGACGAAAATGATGGAATGTATAAAATATGAATAAATTTTCAAAGTTTATTAGAAATAAATGCAGATTTATGTTGTGTAAATCGGTGTTTCCATATTTATTAATACTTTATCACAATATTATATATACAAGCAACTTACAAAGATACACGTAGTAGTAATAATAATAATAATTTGTATATATCTATATAATTGTATATAAAAGGAAGAAAGAAAAAGAATCGATGAAAGCAAAGCCAAAAATCTTCCACGATTTACAAAGTGCAACAACTAATAAATAACTCAAACACGAACAACAGTACAATCGAGCTGAAAAATAACAACCAAACATAAGTTTGCATTCTTACCTTTAATTGTTTTAACTAATTAATTACACTTCGATTAAACTTATTTACAAATAAAAGAGAACACATCGTGTCGTCAGTTAGTGAAATTACAACTTGCCTTAATATTGCACACACACAACAACAACAACAACGATAACATATGAACGATTTCATACTATATTTTCAGCAAAAAAAAAATCAAATAAGAAAACGAAGCTTTAACTCAATAAAAAACTATGCGCGTGTTATACAATTTACATTAAAGATTTCGCTCAGACCGTTTCATTTTTGTGATACGCAATTTTCGGGAATTATTGTGTGTATGTAAAGAAACGAGTAACAGTTAAATAATTAATAATGTGTTTATTATGTATACAAAAATGTTTGTTTAATAACTATTCAATTAATATTATTATTATTATGAGATGATGTTTATATAAAAGAGAAAACGGAAAAATTTCGTGTTTTTTTACGTCTCTCATCGAAGGAAGGAATACACACACACACACCTTTCTTCTTCGTAAGTTGAACAACAAAACCAATAAAAATAGAAATAATTACACGTTCGATCACTGCGACACACAAAAAAAAACCTTTGATGGATTCACCGAAACGATTAACGTTTCAATTGTAAATAACAAATACGTCTTTATTGATACAATAAAGTTGATTTTTTTATTACTTTCATAATTGATGATTACTCATATGTTCAGTTATATAATAAATTACAATCAAGTAAATGCAAATTTATGATACAACATTTTAAAATTATTTTCATGATGAAGCAACAAAACTAGAAGAATTTCAATAATTATTAAACTAATCGTCTTGAAATACATTTCAAACTATAATTGATAGGCCCTTTATTTCAAAGAATATATGTGTATTTCTGTGAACAAAAACTAAGTTAAATCAATTATGTTCGATCCATGCAAAGATTTTCTCTTGTTCGTTTCGTGATCCGTTTGTAAAGTTTAAGCATCGTTTGATCAGGTTTGCCTTTAATAGTTATCATTTATAATAATATATATATTTGAACAACGAAAATAGTATTAAAAGTAACAACGAGTTAGTAAATGTACCCGGAAACAATGGTACCGGAACGAAAGTAATTGTAATAGTAATAATAATAAATCCATGCAAAAAGTTGATGCAAAAGAAGAAAAAGAAAATAATTAAATTGTAAATAAATAATTCTTTCTTAAACATATATTACAACCTATACGCGATCCTTACACACGAACTATCAATATTGTTGTCTTTGTTTCAGTGTTCTTTTTTTATTTCAATTATTTCTTGTTACATTAGTATATGGCCGGCAATTATTAATTTCCTTAATTTTAGTCTCGTACAGATTCTTTGCGAGAAATCATAGTGGAAAGTTTGTTTGTTTTGTTTTAAATTTGTTTTCTTTTACATACATTTTCTTGTTTTTGTTTTTTAGAAGGGATAGAGAAAGAGAGATAGCTAGAGATCGAAAGGAAAACACACACACCAACAAACACACACTTGCGTCGCATTTCAATTTATGTCAATTTTTAAATCACAAAAGCCATCAATATTCAATTAGTTAATCAATAAATGTCTTAGTTTTACTTTTTTTTTTCTCTTTCTGTCGTTCACTTTGAAGTTAAATGTGTTAAGTAAACGGTAAATTGCACTATATCCTTAAAATTATATTTATAGATTTATATTTATATATATATTTGTATCATATATTATTATGTATAGATTATTATTTACAAAGTAAAGCAAGATATTTTTATTTCGCGCGTCTCCTGTGATTCTTAACGTTACTTTTTTTTTTCTTCTTAATATTTGCATTTACGTTTAGTTTCCATTGCCCTAAAAATATTACATTTAACTAACTCCATCATCGTCGTCCAATTTTTTTTTTTTTTTCGTTTTTTTCTTTTCGTCTTCGAGAAAAGAATCTTTTGTTTTCTTGCGTTTTTCGGTAAGTGAGGAACACATTTTACGCTCTTCCCAAAAAGGTAATTGGCACGGGCGCCGTTCGTTACAATTGCAATGAATTTGTTGCGCGCCAGCTCGAAACGATTCCTTTTTGTATAAAAAAAGAGAGCACAAATTTGATGATACAGCAACGATCATCAAAATCGCAGAACGTATCATCGTCTTATGTTGTACATCTTATGATTGTTTGTGATTATGCGATCGAGCTGCCGGACATTGTGGTGATGCAGGTCTTCTCGCAGGAATCGGTGTTCTCTGAGCTGGAGCGCACAGCTTTTGGGGTGGACGGAAGCTGCTCAATGGTCTCGGTGTTGTTGTTGGTGGAGGCCCTTCTGCCTGCCTCCCGTGCCGCCGTTCTCACGTCGAAGATCGAGCACTCGCTCTCCAGGTCGCTGCCCTCCAGCTGCAACAGAGAACAGGGAAGGGAGCCCCCTTTAGCGCATCCTCGAAGGGCGTCGTACCTGGAGCTGCCGGTCGTCTACCTGTCGGCTGTTCAGGTACAGCTCGCTGGAGTCGGAGCCGCAGCTGGAGCTCTCGCTGATTTCCGTCGTGAACTTCCTTTGGGCCCTCGGACTAGGCGGCGGTCTGCGCGTACACACTTGAGCTTGGATGTGCTCGCACACCCTTCGGAACCTTCGGATGTTACCTGCAACAAACACACCTAAATACAACTAAATCTAAATCATCAATTCAGCAGCTTGAAAAAAAATAAATAAATCTATTAAAGCAGGGTTTCCCAAACTTGTCCTGCAACGTAAAGCCCGAAATTTTCAAGAAATGAGAGAAAAAAATCATTTTCAAATTTGGAAAACATAAAACATTTTTTTATTATTATAGATTAATTATTGAATGATAAAGTAGTTAGTAAATCAATGATTAAATTAATTTATAACTTGTTTGAAAAATTTAATTTTTGTGGATAAAGAATCAAATAACTTTTTCAGTTTTATGTTACGTTTTCATAAAATTAAGCTCCTGAAATCTTTTTATTTTATAGCAGAAATTATAATCCTCTATTTTTTTAACTTTAACCTCTTATTGTACCAATTAAATATCTTACTAGCTGCTAAAGTAATTCCAGAATTTGATGATAAAGGCAAAAGCAATGCACTAAAGAAGTTCTACTTAATTGTTATGTTTAAATTAAATACTCTACAAGTATAATCTGTATTTGTTATCTTATAAATCAGCGTTATCTCTTAACAATGCGATATAAGGGTCATCAAATATGTTAATATGTTATTAATAAATTATTATTGAAAATATTGAATTTTAATATTTTATACAAAGTAAACTCTTGTGAACAATTATCGTGCAGGCTTTGGAAAAAAATGACAGAGAAACAAATAAGCTGTCTATTAAAGATTTCTGCTAGAATCATCACCTAACGATCTTCTCGTATGGTCTTATTTTGTGGTAAGTTTTAAATTTTCTAAATTAGTAAAATATGTTTATAATATTATGTATAAACATCAAATGTATATTAGATTTCAACATTGTTTTGATTTCAATTTTGAATTTTACAAAAAAATGTTTCTCAATTATCAATAATAGTGAATGCAAAAGATAATTTATAGTAGAAAAATAATTAATGTTATAATGATATTATTATAATATATTAATTATTTTAAACTGTCATCCAATTTGAGTGACGAAAACCTCAAATCCAAAGTTTGTAATCCGTCAGAGTTAATTGCAGCACTATTTTTTTTGTTTGTTTTGACATGCTTGATGTCGGAACGATAATTCGATTTTTGCCATGCAACGCAAACTAAACGAATTATGAAGTTTCCCTTTAGCTTAGCGAGCTAACCGATGTCGGTTATATATTCGAGTTCGCGCCTGAATTAATTTAACGTTCTAATTAAAACTTCGAGTCGCTCCGGGATGACGGAAAAGAAAATATCACGACAATTAGGTTCGTTTTTTTTTTGGTGTTGTTGTTTAATACTATAAATTTTTTGGTGTATTACGAATAAGATTAGCTCGAAAAAGTTTTATCAGCATGCAAACTAAGTTCTTACCTGACAGCAACGTGAACGTGATTGCGAATAGGAATTCCTTGGCATTGTCTCCGGTTTGCTTGGTAATTGTGGAGATATCCACTTGGAAGCGCACGTGCCTTTGGAACATGGCGGGACCGGTAGTTCCGCGCTTGTATTCCACGCGAAAACTCATCGGACTCGAGACGGAATGGCTCAACTCTGCTATCTGGAAGTTGAATGTAAGGTAATGAATGAGATTGTTTGCATTAAAATGCAACTAATTACCGAAAGGAAAGCGTGGATTAAATCTGCTTTGACTGTGGCAAGTGGTTTTCCCTTCACCAGTATCGTGAAGGTTTCGTCCTTTTCGGTGGTCATCAGACTGCCGAACCAGGACTTCTTAGTGAGTTCGGGCGAGGATTCCGGGGTGAGGTGAACCTCCTCGGAGGAGGTCTGCAGTTTTCGCCGATGGAAACGGGGCGAACCAAGGAAACTGTTCTTGATTGTCGTGAGGCGGGAGCGCCAATGGTGGCCGGTGTTGCTGGAGTGCGGCGAACCGGGAGGGGTCATCGGGGTAAGGATCGTCGGACCGGTGACCAGATTGGTGGTGTCGTTCTCTGGTGATGTAAGGGCGGAGAGTAGATATGGACCGCTGTTGCCGCCGCTGCTGTTGGCCCGATGGTGGGTGGGAGTCGAAGGCGGCGGTGGCGTCACGGTGACGTGGGTGTTGGAGGTGACGTGCGTCGATGTCCGATGACCACCGCCGGTATGATGCGATGAAGATCTCTGATTCACGGGCGACGAGATTCCTATTGGTTCAGTGAGTAAATTAACCAAAACTCTTGGAGCTTAACCTGCAAGGTCACTTACTATGAGAATTCGTTGACGATGTGCTGTTGAAATGGACCGGGCTCGAAGCCCCCGAGGATGATCTCGTCGGGGAATGGATGCTTAAACTACTATGGGTGCTGCCTGTCGATGGACTTCTTCTGGCGTGGTGTCTTCTAGAACAAGGAAATTGTTAAATATCAGAGAAAAGAAGCATCAGTACTCATATCCTCATTACTTGTAATGCGATCTCCTAGGTGTCAGCGGAGATCCCTCGCTGATTTGGCCGAACTGCAGAGTATTTTGCCCGTTCACGCGACACGTGTCGATGCGTTTCCTCGGCGGATCCGCCGCTTCCGTCACCCTAATCCTCAACATCGAGTCCTCATCTTCGTAAGCTGGTCTTCTTCGCTTCCTCTCCAGCAATAAAAAGTAGATGACCTTCTCCGTATTGTGGCTGAAAAAAAAATAAACGAAATAGTAGCACTCATTACTGCCGCTCAAAAGGAAACCGTGCGGTGAAAAGGTAAGGGATTACGTCAGCCATCAATGCTTCAGATTGAGGATTACGATTTCTCATCTAACGTTGATAATACGTAATGGTAATGAGCGTACTTAGGGCTTAGGAGGTGTTGTATGAGCTTCTCCCGTTCCTTGAAACATCCCAGGCTGCAGATGGCCTGCAGCACATCGGGATCCACGGACTCAATTGATGGCAGCACATGGGTTTGGACCACCTCCATCATTGGCAGCTCCAATTCCAATTCACCCTTTCCACCAGCCGTAACCCACGCGTGCTTATTAATTTCCGACAACTGCAAAATAAATAATAATTATAGATAATAATCAATTCAATTGCATTATTTCAACGTACAGTGAGCCGCTTCTCCGGATTAACTTCGATCATTCCGCGAAGGAGACTCTGGCAGTCGGGCGGAACGAAGTGCGGGATGTGGAATACTCCGCGCTTCACCTTCTCCAACAGTTGTCTGAGGTTGTCGTCGTCGAATGGTAGGGCGCCTACAAGAAGTGCGTAAAGGATTACGCCGCACGACCAGACGTCCGCCCTCCTTCCGTCGTACTTCTCGCCCTGAAATGAAAACCCACACGTATTAGCACTCTTTCCACGCTCCGCGCAATGCAAATATTTACTCGGATAACTTCTGGACAGGCATAGTGAGGGGATCCGCAGCTCGTTTCCAACATCGAACCCTGAGGCTGCAGCGAAGCCATCCCGAAGTCCGCAATCTTGATGTTGTTCTTTTCGTCTAGCAGCAGATTCTCCGGTTTCAAATCTCTATGGCTACAAATGCAAATTTTAATTAACATATACATCTTATTATATCATATACAAAACTAATTATAGCATAAATTATATACAAAGATAACATACTTCCCACATCCAACAAAATTTACATTACATCAATAAATTTAATTAAATTAATTCATTTAAATTTTTAATACTTAAGATACTATCAACATCTTACAATATTTATTTCAAACAAACCCCCGATTTACACGGTAAGGTTCCTGAGAAAAACGTGTAAATCGAAATTGTAATGTAAAACCGTGTAAATTGAAAAGTATGCAAAAACGTATTTTAAACATTTATTTTTTAATTTAATTTTTTTAAATACGTGTGTAAACAAGTTCATATAGTTTATAAGTAGAATAATATTCTGCAATGTTTGCTTAAATAAGTATATCTTCTATTATTTTTCCTCTTAGGTAAACATTAGTTACATCATCTCTCATATATGTTTGGAGTCCTTGAATGTCAACGTCTAAACCGAAAGTGGACACTAATGGTGCCGTAATCAGTTACAAACACGTTATTTCGGACGTCCGCAAATATCATCATTAACGTGAACTTGAACGAGCGCTCTAAATGGTGATAGTAATCGCATTTTCATCGTTCCAAGAAGAAAAAAAAAATGATATCTTTAACTACATCCAACAGAAGTTTGTTCAACAGAAATGACGAAGCGAAACGATGAAATATGAAATAAGTTCAATAATTACCAAATGGAATGGCTATGGCAGAAATCCAAGGCGGATATTATTTGTCTAAAAAATCTTCGGGCTTCTTTTGGTGTCAGTCTTCCTTTCTTCACTAGGTAATCGAACAGCTCCCCGCCGGACACGTGCTCCAAAACGAGATAGCTGCAAATAGATAAGCGACGTAGTATGTAGTGCACATGCAGTCTAATCTAAATTGGAGTTAAGGAACTTACAGGTATTTCTTGTTCTCGTATACGTCCGAGAGCCCCAGGACGTGCGGATGGTCGATCAATTTCATAATTGCTATTTCCCGTTCCACCTATTGCAACAACGATAGTAGAGCATTAATTTAGAGATCTTCGAAACGATTATTTTTGTGTTACCTTCATCAAAACGCTTTCGCTCAGTTTCTCCCTGTTGATTATCTTTATTGCTACCTTTTTGCCGGTAACGCAATGCACCCCGAGTTTCACCAATCCTACAAAAAAAAATAGAAAATCATTACATTTCCATCGATTAACCAAATCGCGTACGGATATTTCATTAAATGATACACATCAAGTTTCCTACTTACTACATTCATCGACATTTTTGACAGCTGTCAATCGCTATTGTCAATGTCCATTTTATAAGTTATAATTTCCTTTTAAATTATTTATATAAACATAATACAATTATTATAATATATACATTTATTTAATGAATATTTAATATATTTTAAAATAAATTCATTCAATTTTTACACCTAATTGTATTATAATTACATAAATTACATAATTGCATAAATTGTGGATGCGCCAGGTAAATAAAAAGATTATTTTAAGAGAAAAAACATCATATCTTATTAACCTGTCAAGCGATTTTGATAAAATTTTGTAATGTTATTCATAATGATATAAGTAATAGAATATCCTAATCAGAATTTTGATATCTAGCTTATTTTATATATTTATAATACATTTATAAACTGTTTTGACTATAGATTTTGACAAAACACTTAAGTTTATGTTTAATTAAGAGCAGACATTATTTAATTTCGTTTGAAATTAGTTCTACACTGAATTGAATTAAGTTCATAGCAGTTTGAACTAATCATTAAATCACTTATATCTCGTTTATTATTTACGTCTGACCACAGACTATTTAATACGTGAAGATGAAAGTTTTAACATTTTATTTAAGATCATTTTTATCGCCTAGCGAAAGAGAGCATTACTTTTCCTCATTCGTACCAGGTTCACAAGATGAATTAAACTTGTCTGAAAGCTTCCGATCGTTACATCCAAACAATAAACTTGTTTTTTTTATTGTTGTTGTTGCAGCTAATGTTTGGATTACTTGTTAAGCCAGACGTGTTAACTTTTCACGAACGGCATTAGATAATTAACAGGTTTTATTTATCTTTTACGGCGTTACATCTTCTCAACGAGAAGTCGATTCATTAAGCTGTTGGTGATTAAATATTGGCACTGGGGATTTGCAGCGCCTGGGGAGATTGAAGTACAATAGCAAATAATAACTTGAACCATTTGTAAACATTAGCATTTGGTTACAAGGAACCTCCTAAGGGACTGCAATTAACTATTGTAATTAATTCAAGAGTTTGATGCAAGATATTCTATTATTTGACTATTGAAGATCAATGAACAGAAGTTTGGGTTCGCTTTATTAAAACATATTCATAAATGTCAAATATAAAAAAATGTATGCAGTGGGATTTGATAGTTGGATAATAAACAATTGATCTCAGGAAAAGGTTTTCTTGATTGTCAAAAAAATGACATATGTCAACAAATTTATGCAGAGTAAATTTGATAGTTGGATAATAAACAATAAGTGTCATTATTTTTGTTTCTTTTGTGCTTTGAATTGAACGATTATATTTAGAAATAGTTTATTGTCAAAATTGACTAAATAAAAATTGGTATAAATGTCATTTTTTTTTTGGATCTGTCAAACTGAAAGAATGTCAAATATATTTATGCAGATGAAGTTTCTTTAGTTGTGTAATAAACAATAGATGTCACTGTTATAATTTATATTTAAATTTTTCTTTCGTGCTTTGGTTTTGAAACACGAAACACTGTTTCAAAGATTACGAAAGATTGATTTTACCCGCCGATAAACACTGTATTATTTAATCACAGTTTTCGATCAATTTCCATACACGTACAGTAGCTACATTTCAAAATACAATTCTGTTACGAAACTACATATATATATATTTGTTATTTATTTTGCAGATTGCGAAACTGAAAGTGAATCAGGGGAAGCCAATCGGGCGAGTTAAAATGAACGTAAGTAATTAACAAGATTAACCTTGGAATAGATTTCAATTAGAGTAAGTATTTATCTTTATTAGATGGTTTTTTTACCAAACTCACTACGAGATTTTTAAAAGTTTTGTCCGTTCTTTTAACCTGTAACTACTACGGACAAATAAATAAATCACAAGTACCAAGTATGGGTCAAAATGACCCTGTTATTAAAAATAGAACAAATTATTATTTTTTTACAACAAACATAGCTAATATTCATGATATATCGAGAAAGTATTTGTTATAGACGGGTCACTTTGACCCGAAATACATTCTGCAATAAAATAAGCACTAGAAAATCTAGAAGATCCACAATTAATTTACAATGGAATGCGAATGAAAACAAATGGATCACTTTGACCTATCCGCAGTACTTTCGGGTTAAAGTAGTATTTTTACTATTTTTTTTATTAATGTCATGGCACACTTGAACCTACAGATATAAACATTCGAGTTACACTTAAATTATGACAATATTATTTAGTGTTATAATTACGACAATATGTCGCACTCTTTGAAACTGGACTAATCGAGACATTAAATACAAAGAAAAGAAAAAACCGCACCAAAAAGAGACTTTTAGCAATTTGTTAAAAATTATTTGTTTTGAAATTTTGAAACCGGATTATAGTAAATCCGTACTGATCGAAGCCGCACTAAGCGAGGTATTGCTTCAATTAAACAATTTTGCCTTATACATATAAAATCACTATTCTAGATATTCAATAGAGAGAAGTAGTAAACATCAATTACTCGATATACGAACTTGAACGAATTGCATTGTCATGGATTATAATTCATGTGGTTTTGTAATAAGTAAAGTAATGTAATGCGCGTGGGGAGAGAAGAAAGGAATGTGATATTTCCTCGGTTCATTGATTCACTGTAGTACGAATGCGGAAGGGGGAGAATAAGTTAGATGTGATATTCAGACTGAAGATCCGCATTCATCAGATCAAATAAATCAGAAACTGGAAGAAACAAGCGGCACTAATGATCTGCTCGCATTTAAACTTCTCGAGGATTAATGATTTTTTTGTATTGAATAAAAAAGAAAAGTTTATTTTTCTTTATGTATATATACCTCACTTATTTCGGACTGATTGAAACCGGACTAATCGAGGATTTAAAAAACACAAAGGAAGAGTAACAAAAACACGATCATTTAGTATGAACAAAATTGTTTTTAGAATTTATTTTGTTTAATTAAAATTTAGTTTGTTTTGATGATTATATATAGTGAATCCGGACAAAACGAGGTAGAATTGTATTAATTTACAATATTTTATTTTAATGTTTTTGCAATCAATATTTGATGCACTTCGAAAGGCATTTGCACGTAATTGAGCTATATGCAACTCTATATTTATATACAGAGTCGATTTATACATTTTTTTTTGGGAAAGGACAAAAACAAAGTCTATATGATGGACGGCCTTTCGGATGGAAACGCGAACCATTAATTTTGGATTTTAACGCTCGCACTTCATAATGAAAAGCCACTTACAAGCATTGTATTTCTATACGGTTCTTTATGGTCATTGTTGGGCAATCAATTACATTAGTCGCTTTACAGTTCAAATTAATATACACTGCTGTGCCATACAATTCATTACATCAAATCGATTGATTAATTTAAATTTAAAAATAAACAGTATAATTTTGATTATAAATTAAACTTGTTGTGATTATATTATATTACTTAGTTTATATAAGGTTACGTTTAGTTTCCGTAAAGCAATTTCGAACCTGTAATTTGATTTCTAGCGGTAAAAGCTTAACCTGAAGCAGGTTGTTCAATCTATGTCTGTCTTATGCAATTTCCTGCGCCGCAAACGTGAACATCGTGATTTGATAAACAGTTCGGTCTTCCGCAATAACTGCATTTATTTTATTGGCAATACATATTTATTTTTTTTTTGTTTTCTACCCTTTATTTACAAATATTTTTTTTATATTTCAACTAATTATCTACTGAAAATATCTAGAAATGAATGATTATATAGGCAATTAAAACCTCACTCAATAAGTTCGTAGGATGACATATAGATGGAGCCTTCGACAATCTATCAATTTTAGGAAGTACCAACCTTCAGACGACACCTGTCAAAATTTCATGGCAATCTGACTTTTAGTTCACAAGTTACAATGGTTTTAGTGACGCTACCTTTGTAATTTTCAGAACAATGGAAAAATCTGAATTTCGTGTGTTGATAAAACATTGCTTTTTGACTTGAAAAAATACCGTTGAAGCAAAGCAATGTTTTGATAAGTGTTATGGGGACTCTTGTCCGTCGAGATAAATAGTAGAGAAGTGGTTTGCTGATTTTAAACGAGGTCGTACAGACACAAATGCTGGTGAGAGCGTTCGAATTCGGCAATTGTTGAAAACATAAAAGTAGTCTACAAAATGGTTTTGGCCAATCGTAAATTGATGTTGCCTGAGATACTTGACACCCTGAAGATATCAGTAGACAGTATATTCACCATTTTGCATGAACATTTGATCATAAGAAGGCTTTGTTCGAAATGGTTACCGCGTTCAAGCTAAAAGTAGACCAAAAACAACAACGAGTTGATGATTCAGAGCGTTGTTTGGAGCTATTCAAGCGAAGTAAAAAGGATAATTATGAAGACAATTATCTGCAGAACAAGATAATAAATACAATTGTCTATAGAAGAAAAGAGATATACAGAAACAATCTGAATAATTGTAAAAACTTGGAAAATTAAAAAAAAAACAATCTTAATTATTATGAAGACTATGAAGTTCTACAGAACAAAAGGTATGCAAAAAGAGTCCGAATTGTTGTAAAGACAATTATTTGCAGAAAAACGTAATAAACACAATTGTCTACAGAAGAAAAGATATATACAAAAACAATCTGAATAATTATAAAGACTTGGAAAATTTAAAAATAAAAAATTATTGAAAACCAATCTTAATTATTATGAAGACTATGAAGTTCTACAGAAAAAAGGTATACAAAAACAGTCCGAATTGTTATAAAGACAATTATCTGCAGAAAAAGTTAATAAACACAATTGTCTACAGAAGAAAAGAGATATACAGAAAAAATCTGAATAATTATAAAGACTTGGAAAATCTACAAAAGAAAAGAAGTTGTCGAAAACCAATCTTAATTATTATGAAGACTAT